CTTACCACTATATGGTGTAGGGTATAAAAATAAGCACACGAAGATTTAAACTAAATAAAGAATCTAGGCAACAGACATAAACAAACATGATAAATAATAATAACAATAATAAATGTGTAGACAAACTGGTAGACGACACATATGTGACACGAAGGACCTGTCAATAACAACTGGAGAATATTTATTTCAGAAAAACAGAAGAAGCGTTGTTAAGAAATACAAAATATTTCGACTATCATAACCGTTTAAACCTTTCGTGTAAAAAGTCGCAAAACTTGACAAGACAACGGAAACGGAAATCGACTAAACAAAAAAACAAAGATAAGGTAAAGTGAAAACATATAGTATATGAGGTGGTGGAAATGAATACATGTGTTATGCAATCAAGGGAAAATTAATGAAAAATTGTCAATTTTCTTGATAAAAATATATTAATTTCATGAACAATGTTAAGAAAAATAAATGGGAAGTGTAATTTGGATGGATATTAATGAAATTTTTTAGTTCAATTGAAAATGAAAAAAAGTTAAAATTGAAAAATTATGTAACCATTGGCACAATGTGTGATAATTTAAATCATTGGAAAAAAAAACTAGTGAATAAATTTACAAATTTAAAAGAAATATTTAGAAAAATATATTGGTAAAAAATAAAATAGTGAAAATAGAAAAGAATTATATAAGAAAATAAAATATTAAAACATATTACGTAATTACAATCGTTAACAGAAGGTTATGGAGTGTTGGAAAGAAAATTGAAAAAAATAATTTGGTGTAATTGCTTAATATATATTTATTGTATAAAGTAATCACACCAAAAAAAAAAAAAAAAAAAAAAAAAAAAAAAGTGAACATAACATTTAAAAGTAAATTATGATTTAGATATAACGCTAGAAAATGCGCAGCCTTACAATCAAAGTTATGTAACCAAAAAAGTTAAAAAATATGGAATACGTGCACGTTTTAAAGTAATATAACTAATAAATCAAATAAGTGAAAATTAGTTTTCCATTTATATATCTTGATTCCTGCTTAATGTGTCATAGCTTAGTTAGTTTCAAATACATACATACAAATACATACAAAAACATATGTATCTACGTATTTCCATACAATTCAAGTTACAGTGATTTAGCTTTCACATCACAGTGTTTTGAAATCCGATCAAACAAAAAATAACAAGTTAAAAATCAGCTAAGTTTTGCCCGGCCGAACACCATTTTAAAGCATCTTAAAAAATTAAAAAAAATCCGTCCCAAAATACTAATTAAATAAAAATCGTTATACAATTCCGAACTTCAAATACGAAATTTGAAACAATTCCTGCGAATAACGTTGCTAATATCATCAAAAACCGAATAAAAGAAAGTACCGTTATTACGGGGATATACAATATCGTGGACCATCCAGGTGGTAAAGTACTCACAAGGAACTCCTGGTATGGATTTCGAGACAATTCCATTGAAAAAATGTGGCTAAAATCATGATAATATCGAATATCGGGAGTTATCGTTATATGGGGGATATACGATATGGTGAACCTATATAGACAATTCTATTCCAGGGGGGGTAAAGAACTCACAAAAAAGTCCTTGACTTTTGACTCTAGCGTGATTACAACAGACGAACGAAGAAAAAAGTCGAATCTGCTGACGCTAGAATCTTGAAATTTGGCACGAGGGTCAGTATTGGAGCGTAGGCATGTGATAATGCTGGATTTTTGGAAATTCGTACTAAAAAGTTACGAAAATTACTAAAATGTACCAACAATTGGATTCTTTGTTCGGACTATGAGTTAGAATTCTGAAATTTGGGATGAGAGTTACTGATGGAGTGTAGGATAGATGTACCAAAGGGTTTTCGGATATTCGAAGTTTCGGAGTTTCGAAAAGTTCCAAACTGGCACTAAATTTCGAAAAGGGTACCATTTGACATTAAGTAAATATATAGAAATTCGGTATGAAATCAAGTTTGAGTGGAAAGTAAATTTGATAAATGAAAATGGTGTTAGAAATGTGTACTAAGTGTGCGAACTGCACTAAATGATACTAAATTTGGAACAGGTAAACGGATGAAGCTGGAATTTGCAAATTTTGTATTAGGGTCCCTGTTGGTTGTAGGTTTGTGACAAAGAGGTGGTTTTTGAAGTGTGTACCCTAACGAAAAGTTTTAATTATTAATCTGGTATTGGGTGACGACATATGAAATTTGTTATAAGGGTCGCTATTCATATGTAGCCTGGACATATTGAGGTGGATTCGGAAATATGTACTATCATCTTTGGTATTAGATGAAGGGGTAGAAGAGATACAATTCTGAAATTTAATATTTAGATTATTTATGGTATCTGTATTTGATATTTAGCGGTGGTTTGGAAATGGGTCCTATATTTGTACTTGGGTGAAGGGTAAGGCCCTTAATCCTCAAAATTTATATTGAAGTCACTTTGATAGCTAAGGTTGAGATATGGGGATTGTTGGAACTGTGTTTTCATCATTATACAAAATTGGTACTGGTCTATTACTCTTTGTGCACTTTAAGTTCGAAATTCCTAAAAAACAAGTTAAAAAATATCAATCGGTTTTGCCGACAGTTTGACATTTTAAATATATTTTGACTTCAGTTATGATTATTCAAATTGTTGAGCCTCTATAGAGTAGGTTCCGAAGTAATGGACCAATATTGTCCCATTCGTATCGGAATTAAATAAATATGATACAAATATTGCGTAGTGCCAGGTTTGGACTATATCGACAATTTTTCTTCACTTTATATAAGATGTGATCATTTTTAGAAAATGTTTAAATGTGCGCGAGGTGCCAAATGTAGTCGACCGAAGTATTCCATTTTCATACTTCATCTAATACAGATAAAAATATTGGTATAGGCAAAATTACAAGAAAATTGAACATTTAGATCCAATTTAGCATGTTATAAGGAATAGCTGACTTGTTTCGCAACATATGACAGATAAAAGTATTGAAAATTGTGATCCTTTGTGGGTGAGGTACCAGAAGGGGTTCGCAGATATATATCATTTTCACAACAGATTTTGTGTTAGCAAAATGTTTGTTTGTATAAAATTTGAAGAGGTTTGGATGCTTATTTCGCTTTCTTTGAGCATTTTGTGTCCGATCTCTACCATCTTTATAAGAGATCTTGTGTTGATGCAAATATTGAGATGTACCATGTCTGAGTAGAAATTTCGCGTTTTATGAGATTCACCGATATATCCCATATATCCAGAATTATAGCCTACTTTTTGTACTCTTATAACGGAAATCGAATTTTTTGATTTTTTAAGACTTCGGGGGGAGCTAAGTTATTTTATGAAGTTCTTAACAACATTTGGAAGCATATTCCATTAAAGATTTCGAATATATTTTTTTAATATGAATAATTGCATATTATTTATTATAGTTTATTTAGGTCATAGTCAGACCACTGTTGCTAGATAAAATATATGTATTTATGTCAAGCTACACCAAAAATCGTTACAATTCGTTTTATTTGCTGTTATAATCGCTAAAATTGTGCCTCGTAACCTTGGTGTTCGGCCAAATTGTTGTCTCTGCGACCAGTGTTGCCGTTTGAAATTTTAATTTCAGCCCAATTTTTTTATAAAAACCGCCCAAAATCGACCATATCCGCCCAAACTGTGAAAAGTTGAATGATTTATATGTAGTTTGTATTCAAGTATTCAAGTAGTATATAAAAAAGGTACTCAAGTTTTATTACATTCAATGTATTAAATACATTAGAGAAAATAAAAATTTTATGTTATTTTACTTCAAGTTTTTTATATATATTATATATATTTGAAAAAGTAACATAATACAAGAATTCAATGTATTAAGTACATTAAAGTCATTATTATTATTCAGGTTTTTATACCCTACAACACTATGTGTTGGGGGTATTATAAGTTTGATTGGGCCAAAAATTATGTAACACCACGAAATATTGGTTTCCCACATAGGAAAGTATATATGGATCTTCCTATCTCGCCGAGCTGAGTCGATTTAGCTATGTATGTCCGTCTGTCCGTGTTAATTTGTAATCACTCTATAGGTCACAATTATGGCCCGATCTTCATGAAATTTAGAATGTAGCTGGGGTTAAGGTCAGAATAGAACCCTATTTCTTTTGGAGATGATCGCATAATATTTAGGGGTTTAAATGAACCAAAAACAGAAAAAAATTCCTGATCACACAATTGAAGCCAATCGACACGCCTGAGAAGATAGGTAAGCACAGGGAAGAATTCTGGCATTTTGGATGACCATTGAAATATATTTAGCCATAAAATGGACCAGAAAAACTAACAGCACGACGGAGTGCATAAATATTGGGAAAATGTCCCTGGTCAAAATGCTAAGGGTAATATCTGGGCAGTGCTCCGTGACATAATTTCAAAAGCGAAATCTTCCAAAATGGATTTGGACATGAGGGGGCTTCTAACATATTGTAGTGTTGTAGGGTATCACATGGTCGGGCCCGCACGACTATAGCCTAATGTATTATATATATTATTAAAAAACTTAACAAAAATCTATAAAATAAATAACAATTCATCTCAATAAAAAAAATTAAATTACGTAAAAATAAACAATGAAAAATAAATTTGTACCCAATATGGAAAAATTCCGCCCAAAATCCGCCCAAACCACAAAATTTATCTTTTTTCCGCCCAAATTTGGACGGAAACGCCCAAAACGGCAACACTGTCTGCGACTCTAAAACAATATCACCTGCAACAGTTGCGTGTCGGGTGATTTCGTGTCATCTGCCTGCCCTGTTATACGCTTCGTGAGTGCATCAATAAAAGGAAAATACATTAAAACTTCTGAATAAATAAATAAATATTCTAAATCAGGCACTCAGAAATACCCTCGTATAGACAGATAGCTAGACATGCATTATATGCAGGATTCAAAACTACAAAGCAAATAACAATTTGGCAGAGGAAACAAAAGTGTTGTTAAGAAATGCAAAGGAATGGCCTATCATAACTGTATAAACCTTTGGTGATAAAAGTTGAAAAACTAAAAGACAACGGAAACGGAAATCTACTAAATAAGAATTACAGGTAAAGTTTTTGCAGTGAAGTGGAAATATAGTATATAGAGTGAAAAATTATAATTTATTATGTAATAATTGGAAAATTGATCCAAGTTTTTGAGTTGTTTGATAAAAAATGTTTAATTTTGATAATAAATAACAAGAATTTTAAATAATAAAAACCGGTTAAAAAGGTAAAGTTAAAAGGTTGTAGCGAAATATAAATATAGTATAGAGAGCGAAAATCCACAAAAGTTATGTAATAATTAAAAAATTTATGAAAATTCGTAATTTTATTGATAAAAAGTGTGTCATTTTGGCAATAAATGAAAATAGATAAAATATGTACTTTTGTGATATACTGAAATAAATAATGGAAATAATGGAATAACTAAAAGCGAATTGTCATGCAATATTACGTAATCTAGTGTTTGAAGGTGAAAATTAACAGTATTTACAAAAAATCCTCAAAATATTAAATATTTAAATATTCAGCAGAAATATAAAAAAAACACATATTTTTACAAAAACTAAAAATAAAATAAATTCCCTACTAATATTACGCGATTGTTAAACAGGAATCGTCGACTTTTAAATATATTCTAATAAAAATAAATACATTTTTGAAAAATGTTGGCTAAGTGCCAATGTTGAATCAATAAAAAGATATATTTTAATTAGAGGATAGTGCGCAGTATCACCAAGAAAATTATGTAAAACAAGTAAAAACACGCTAAATTCAACCAGGCCGAAATTTTGATATCCTCCACCATGATGTGTCTGGATTCAAGATTCGATCGAATTCCATTTTTAACGTAAAAACCGATGAAAACGGTTGGACAAGGCAGATAAAAGAACGACGCGAAAAACTCAATAAAAAGGAATTATGGCCAAAATAGAAATATTAAATATTCACACTTAAAAAACCGATGATGGCCGATGAAAACGCGAAAAAATCAATAACAAAAGAGTTATAGCCAAAAAAAGAAAACGACGATTTAACACCCTGATATCGTGGAAACCCCAATAATAACCGACTTATGGTCAAAATACGAAAATTAAATTAAACACATAGAATAGAGTCAAGTAGACCGTATCGTTATATAGGTCCTATACCAAATCCTAATGCTACATACAAAATGTTCCGCTACAGGGGTTGCTATCTATTGCGAGCTTGAAATACCACATTTGAAACAAATCCGTGGCAAAAATCATCAAATATCCTAAAATATAGTTATATGAGATCTTCAGGAAAACGTGGACCAATTTGGGCAATGATCTATCATCGGAGGTAGAGCCCATTACAAACTCTAAATACCAAGTTTGAAACTATTCGCTAAAAATGTGGCTAAAATAGTTAAAACAACGAATATAGGGCCATATGAAACATGGGATTAATTATGAATTAATTCAATCATCAAAGAGCTGCTTGAGGAATTACAAAAGAATAACACCCTCCTTCCTATGGTGAGAGGTATAAAAATCAGTGCCCCGATTTGTTTGTTTTTACTCGCGAGTGAAAAATAGTAAGGGTAGGAGATTTGCACAATATTTCCTCTCTAATCTATCGTTTTAGGATAGGAACGCTCGAAAGTTTAAAATAAAAGAGTAGGAGTCAAAATGCTCGAAAAAGAGTAAGAGTTGAATCTAAGAGTAAAATCGAGTAAAAGTGAGGTTTGTGTGTTCTCGTGTGTATAAAAGCCAAGAAGATAACACCCTTCAATTGATTTGGGTTTGTTTCGTTTGTAACTCTGGGTTGAGAAAATACATACATACTTACAAATGAACAAGGGGCGAACTTTGAATACCCTCCACCACTTGGAACGAAATTTGGAAATTTAAAAAAAAAAAACATATATAATAATAACAGAACAGTGTTGGCTTGTTTGTTCGGGTCAGGCTTAATCCCTTTATTGTTGTTTTTATAAAAATAACGTTTGTTTATTAGTGGAGAACGATGGTAATAAATAATAAATAAATAAATAACAAATTGAATCCGTTAAAAATTCTGTTTAAATCTTAAAAATACCGAATATAGGAGCTATACGAAAACCTAGACCTGTATAGAAAATTTCCCGTCATGAACTGAAATACCCATTATATACGAAATTTGAAAGAATTCCGGTAAAAATACCGAATATATGTAGGTACTGACCTGGACCTGCATCGACAATTTTCTGTCATAGACTGTAGTACCTATTAGAACTTCAAATACCAAATATGAAACAATTCCGACAATGATGTCGCTAAAATCATCAAAATAGCGAATATAGGGAGGTACCGTTGTATGGGGGCTAACAAAGGCGTGGACCTAGTGGACCCAATTTTCATTCACAGGCTGTAGAACACATTTTGAACTATCATTACGAAATTTGAAACAATTCCGGTGACCAATTTCGATTAAATCAAAATAGTTGGCTATACTTAATCGTGGACATATGTAGCCCATTTTCAATACCAAAATACTTTGTGGGGTCTAAAATATATGTTTGGAGGTGTTGCAAATGGAATGATAAACTAAATATGTGAGTATGACAAAAACTAAAAAGAGCTCGGTTACGAGCGGATATTACTCTCACTGAAAAATAAGTAAAGACCACTTGCCCTTATTCGAGTTGCATTGCAAAATAGTGTATATACTCGATTTATTATTTTAATTGCAGAAATAAAATAACCATGGGAGCAAATTGCCAGATAAAAGTTCGCATGATGCCAAAGACTCATATGAGGATATTTTAAACTCAGTACTGATCATAAAATGTTGGGTTATTTTTGTTTTTTGAGCCCATGTAATCCAATGTCTTCTGAAGACAAGGAATCTTTAAAATACTCGCTCTGGGCGTGAGAACTTAGAAAGCTCTTCTATAAATAGAAGACTTTTAATAAGTCTTCCACAGATATAACTTTAGGGTTAGACCTATGTGTTTTACAGAGAAAAGAACTTAAATAAGTCTTCTGAAGACATAACACTTGGGATAGTCATTTGAAGACAAAAGACCTTGGAAATGGGTCTTTTGAATACAGAAGGGCTTCTACAGGCAAAAGGTCTACTTTTCCGAAGACTTCCGATAGCGGTTTTTCCATAGCCAGATGAATTGTGAATAGTCTTCTTAAGGAAGAACTCCTTTGATAAGGCTTCTTTAGAGAAATATTTAAAATGTAAGTTATAGACGGAAGACCTGTGTATTACTCTACACATAGAAGATCCTTAAATGGTCTTCCATAGACGAAAAATCTTTGAAACTCCTTCTTCTTCTGCATGCCTGCCTGACATTCGCTATAGGCGAAAAACTTTTATTGAGTCTTCTGAACACCTTCGGACAGTTTCTATGGGCAGAAGATGTTTCAAAGGTCATTTATAGTCTATTAAAGTTCTTCAACCTGAAGAAGATTTTAATCTTTAGAGACAAGACCCTTGGCAGGTCCTTTGAAGGCAACAGAGCTTTAAAAGGGTTACTATAGAAAAGAATAAGATATATTTTTTTCCACAAAAGGGAAATCTTTCACCTGAGATTCTTCTGGAGAAAAACTATATTGGGAAGATAGAACATCATTGATGGGGTTTCTGTAGTTAAAACCCTTCAAGAAGTACTCTACCAAAAAACTCTTTGGTGGGTTTTCTGAAGAGAGAAGTCTCTTGAACGGTATTTTTTAGGGAGAAGAATTTTGGAAGATTTTTTTAACAGGAGACTTTTAAAGGTTTTCCTTATAGACATTTGAAGTTCTTCTACTGAAAGGAGGTCTTCTATAGAAAAATGGCATTTAAGAGCTTCCAAGAGACAGGAAATCTTCGAAAAGTCTTTCATATATAGACTTTTGGAGGGTCTTGAGAATATCTTAAAAAATCCTATTGTATTTCAAAGTAGAGTCATGCATATATCTTCTATCTTTGAACAATGTTCAGTACGTTTTTTTCCACAATCAAGGTTATATATTTTCAGAAAAATCTTAAAACTATTTTTGGATTTTTTATTATTTACAAATTATTAGAAAAATTTCAAAACTTATGTTTCTATTAATTTCTTACCAATACTTTCTCCCACTTCTAGCCCCGCTCCTTCTGCAAAATGGATGGACCTTCAACCAGTGCCGAAGCTGCGGCAGCTGGCAACGGTCCCGATCCACGTTTGGAGCTGATGGGTTCCTTTGTTATAAAATCCCTCAAATTAAAACCCGAAAAATGGACACGAGTCATCACCGTAGAGGAGACCAAGGGAATTATAAAAGAATTCCTGGATCGGCCCACACCTGTAGTCCTTATCATAATTCTAACACAATCTGCACAGCTTTTGCCCTCAACCACATTTCCACTGACACAACTGAAGAGCAAAGGAGTTTATTTCATTAAGAAACATCCCGAGCCAATACCACGGGAAAATTGCAATAACTTTATAATTAGCGGAGATTTGGCCACAAGGACCATCGATCAGTTGTCAGCCCTGGTGGAAGAGGTGTTGGTACCTTTGCTATCGAATGAAATCAACTACAAGACATGGCCCTTCATGGTGGCCCAGGATGTACAGAAGCATGTGCACAGTCTGAAGAGTACAGTGCATCAGGTTAAGGGCCAGGTGAGCGGTGAGACCATCCTGGCCATGCCGGTGGGCGTAGAGAAAATCGTAAAAGCCGCCAATGCCATCAGTGAAAATCCTCAACTGCAAATTGATTTGTATTTGAAAAGTGCCATCGAAGGTGTGGTCATCAAATGGGCCACCCAGGTCCATGAGGTCATCAAGGAGAACCCGGCAAATGCTTTCCTCAATGGACAAAATCCAACACCAACAACGGAATTTGTTTTCTGGAATAATCGTTTGAAAAATCTCTCATTTATTTTTGATCAGCTGCGCAATGAGCGCATACGAGCCATGGCTTTGGTTTTGGAACATTCACGTAGTGCCTATTTTCCCTGCTTTCAAACACTCTTCAAAAATGTAGTTACTGGTAAGTATTTGATGGTGGTTGGGAGTGAGAGAGAGAGAAAGGGAAAATATATTAAATCTAAATTCATGTTTTCATTACATCCAGCCCTTGCCGAAGCCAAGGACATTACCATGTACCTGAACCCTCTGAAGAAATGTGTCCAGCAGCTGGAGGAAATGGACTTTGCCGAATGTAAACCCATGCTAATACCTCTAATGCACGTTGTTTGCACCATCTGGGGTAACTCCCGTTATTATAATCACTCTTCGAAAATCACAATTCTGCTGAGACAGATCTGCAATCTGATTATACACCAGGTAACGGTGAAATATTTTTTTATAGGAAAAGGGAATCATTAATTAATCGAATTGTTATTTTAGGCCAAACGCTTTCTGGACCCCTCGTCCATATTCCACAGCGACATCGACGAAGCCATGCAACGCCTGACATTGTCCATCGACATTTTGAAATTCTTTCGTGCTCTCTTTGATCACTACAAGGAAAGAATTGCCGATTATTTTAAAGAGCCCGAAGAGAGGCCACCGATTCATTGGACTTTTCATCCTAATTCAGTTTTCAAGCGCTACAATGCTTTTCTGGAGCGTTTGACAACGATACAGTGGTGAGTAACTTCATAGGGCATGTTGTTAATGAATAAACTAATTCAGTTGAATGATGGCCTGCAAAGAGCAACTAGACTAGCTCAATCGGAGGCAATCACTCAAGTTCACATAAAAAAGAAATGAATCCAAGCTAAGTAACGTTGGGCGCCACAAAATCATTTAACTACTATACATTCCCAATAGAAACATATCCATTATTTTTTCCCATTCTCTATCGATCCCTCTTGCAGGTTCTTCTTCACGGTGATTGAATTCTTGAAGTTGGAGAAAGTTGAAATCGGTGGTCTACGCGGTCGCCAACTGAGTACACGCATTACGGCCGTTTATGTTGAGTTCAATCAATACTTTACGGCATTCGCATCGAAGAGTTATGATGTTCTAGATCCTGACGATCTTGAATTCGATGTGGATTTTGAAAATTTTCAAATGCGTATACTAGAGTTGGACATGAAATTGGCAGCGATACTGTGTCAGGCATTCGACGACTGTTACAATTTGGAGAGTATTTTTAAGGTGAGTGGGCAAGAAAGCGGAGGGGAGAGGGAGGGGAGGGGTAAAAAGGGAAAGAAAGAGATAGGGATATAGAGAGATATCCATATAATATTCGGCATTTATTCTGATGCCATGGTCGATAATACGTGCGGAGAGCGACTATCGGCTGTTATGGCGGCCCACACCATCACCATGACCGGTGCTTGCGTTCTGGTGGGCAACCGAAGGTGCACATTTGACCTCAGCTGACCTCTTTGTCAAGTAAACACGATCATTTTGAATGTTTTCTCATCGGAGAAAACCAAATTCGGCAGTTCACCACTTTCGGCCACTGTCAAATCTTTGGTCACTTTTGGTAATTTTTTTGGTCGTACCCTTGGCAAAGAGTTCTTGAATTACTTTCATAGGTAACAATTTGTACTCTCTCAGTTAGTATCCATATTTCATTATTGAATTCAAGTCCTAGCATTGGTATTTTTTCTTTTTTCCCTTTTTCCATTTTGTTATTAACAGCTTATCAACATTGTGGGAAGCGTGTTGGAGAGACCCAAGATCAAGGAGCAGTTTACACAAAAATATACCGAAATTGTGCGTATGTTGGACGAGGAGCTAACCGTGTGTGAGGATATCTATGACAAACAAATGTTTATGAGATCGGACAATTTGACCCTGTATCCAGAATATAACTGTCCACCGGCGGCAGCCTTTATTCGCTGGTGTGGTCAACTGGAACGGAGGATTACCATACCCATGAAACAATTTCAGGCCTTACAACATGAGTTAGCCAAGACACACATTTTTAGTGGAGGTTCCAATATTCTCAACATCTCCCCTTTTTTCTTTTAGAATAACCAAATCGGAACAATCACTGGACATTATAAAACGTTACGAACGTTTGCTGTTGAAAATCGGCGCCAGTCGTTCATATGTCTTCGAAGATTGGACCGAAAAGCTAAACGAACAAATCGAAACGAATTTGGAAAAGTCACTGATCAAACGTGACCCCGATTCGAATTTGTTGATACTCAATTTTAGTGCTGAACTATTCTGCATACTCCGCGAAGTACATTACCTCAAGCAAATGGAAGTTGAAGGTGTACCCCAGGTGGCCTTGGATTTCGCTGACAAGGGTGATGTCTTTCGGACGTACACTTTGAATTTGGAAAAGACCATTGACTGGTACAACACCATTCATGAGAATAGTTCGACGGTGGAATTGAAAATGATCGAGAAGGAGATACGTCAGATTGACGATTTGGTTGAGGTTGGCATCAATGAGTTGGTATGGAATTCGGAAGGTAAGTTCGAGTGGGATGCATTTAATTGTGTGTTATTTAAACGCGGCATGAAACTGTGAAGCGCATTGGGCGCCATTTTTTTCATGTTCTTTTGAATTTTATGGATGATCGTTACTGGTTTCCTTTGAATAATCCTTAGGCGTGAACTTGGCTGCAACAGCTTCATGGGGTAAACATTTCCATATAACTACAGAAAAAAAGGTCCCGGATATTTCTTTCACTTTCGAATTAGGCTTCAATCGTGATCAGCGCTCTGAAATGAGAGTTTTAATCTCTACTCGAATTCGAGCCGGAGTACTCGTGCGAGTAAAAAAATGGAGTATACTCGATGATTTTATGTCGTCTGAATAAGAGAGAGTATGCTTGGCTCGTTTTCGAGTGGGAGTGAAATTGGATCGAAATTGAGTAGATTTTACTCATTCTTTGACTTTTGAATATTGAGTTTCGACTTTGCGACCTTCAACTAAATCAAACCATGACTTCGACTTTTGAACTTTTCAATATCAAACATCAAATAATCCAAAGTCGAGTTGTGTAACTTTGAAAACACAAACAACAAAAACAGAGAAAGCCACAATTTTCAATTTCATATTTGGTTTCAAGAAAGGATATATTTCTAAAAAGGATCCGTTTTAGATATCTTACCACCTCCAATCAAATTTCATAACATTTCTCTAACACTCTCTCTCGCAATTGCAGATATTCTCAGCTACCTGAATAAGTTACGGCAACCGGTTGCCGCTCTCCAAAATCGCATGGATCACACCCAGGGAAATCTGAAACAAATTCGTGACATTATGTCCGTTTGGGTGCGACAGCCATTGTTCGAGCGGCGCGATGGCAAAAAAGATGCCGTGCTGTGCATCGATGAACGTCCCGATCGCACGGCCAAGCGGTATGCCGAGATACAAGAAGCTTCGGAGAAAATACACGAACTGCTACACGACAATATGCTACAATTCGATATGCAGGACAAGCAGGACGATGAGATGTGGCTGAACTATGTGGACTTTGTCGATAACATTGTCTATGAGTATTTGTTGAAAACCGTGGGCGTCAGTGTGGGTTATATTGTGGAAAATATGGATCCGGAAAATAATTATGCTCCACTGTTCGAGGCTCGTCTGGAATTGGTGGAACCTAATATGGTGTTTGTACCCTCTTTGAACCCGGCCGATAGCATGGGTTTCAACAACATGCTGATCGAACTGGTGCGAGACATTCTGAAAATGGGTACCCTCGTGAAACGCCTCAAGAAAAATGTCAAACAAAACTACGGTGATATGATCAAGGCCAATCAGGACATCATCGATATGCGTAGGGAAATTCTGAACGGTGTGGATCTGGTGATGGAGGAGGCGGCCATGTTTTGTCGGCAGTTCGAAAGATATTCGTATTTGTGGTTGGACGATCGCCACGAGTGTATGGAATATTTTTTGGAGTATGGTCGCATACTGGATGCCGACGAAATCGAACTGGTCATGCTGAATGATCCGGCAGCTCCCAAGCCCAGTCCACCCACCATCGAGGCCTTCCGCGAACAGATCGACAACTACGAGAGTCTCTACAATGAAATTGAAGATATTGCGCCCTTTCAAGTATTCAGCTCCTGGTTTCAAGTCGATGTGCGTCCCTTCAGACAGGCTTTGCTGAATACTGTGTGCAAGTGGGGCAACATGTTCAAGACACATCTGGTGACGACGGTCACCTCGAATCTGATGGATTTGAGCAACTTTATACGTAAGGCCGACGAGGGTCTGCTGCAGACCGTCAAGGAGGGAGACTATGAGGGTTTGGTCAGCATTATGGCCTATCTGATGCAGGTCAAGGAGAGGGCCGTCAAAACGGATGAAATGTTTGAGCCAATGCAGGAGACAATTCAATTGCTGAAATACTACGACATGGACATACCGGAGGAGGTGAATGTATTGCTGCAGGAGTTGCCCGAACAGTGGGCGAATACCAAGAAAATCGCTAGTACGGTGAAGCAGCAGGTTTCGCCACTGCAAGCCACTGAAGTGGTCAGCATACGCAATAAGGTGGCCGCATTTGAGATATATGTTCAACAGTTTCGTGATACCTTTAAACACTACAACTTCTTTCGTTACGACTGTGCCCAACCATATCGCCTGTGTGATCGCATCAATGACGACATGCATCGGTTAGAGTGTGAAATGGCTGAGATACAGGAATCGGGTGGGCTGTTTGAGGTTAATATACCGGAGTTTAAGCTGCTAAAACAATGTCGCAAGGAGTTGCGCATGTTGAAGGTAAGTTGGAAGAGGATGGCCACCACAAGGTATGGTAAAAGGATATGTTTTGTTTTTTGAAACATTTTTAATCAAAGGATGCAATCTTTTTCCCTCAAAGCCTATTTTTGCATACCAGGCTCAAGTATTGCAAGATTTTGCCGCATCCAATAAACTTATTAATAATATTTCCAATTTTTTGTAACCAATGAAATCGTTTAGCAACTATGGGACTATGTCTTCATTGTCCAAACCTGCATCGAAGACTGGAAAACGACACCATGGCGCAAAGTTGATGTGGAAAACATGGACATCGAGTGCAAGAAATTCGCCAAAGATATCCGCCTGCTCGACAAGGAAATGCGGTCCTGGGATACTTTCATAAATCTGGAAGCAACTGTCAAGAATATGTTGACCTCTTTGAGGGCCGTGGGTGAACTGCAGAATCCGGCAATTAGAGAGCGCCATTGGAATCAATTGATGAACTCAACCAAGGTTACTTTTTTACTAGATTTGATAACTTCTTTTATTTTTTTATGCGAATTTTTTATGAAATTGGTTTCTGTAAATATCTGTTGTGTGAAAACATTTAAAATTCGCAAAAACAATCGTTGTAAATATTCGATAATATTTTAGAAATCCTTTTTTAAATACTTTAAGTCGTAGTAAACAGATGTGGTGTTGGTTTCTGATAGATTATGACCGATTCGGACTCCAAAGTGGCACAACTTCTATTGTACTTAAAAGACGCGATTTATGAAAAAAGAGCGTGATTGGGCCAGGTGAACCTTGAAATGTCTATGATAGTCAGTATTGGTGTGAAGGGTTTGAGATATTTTTGATTTTTTTTTGGGAATTGTATTTTAAATCATGAAAAGTACTAAAAGATACAAAATAGGTCAACACTTACATTGTTCGGTCGGTTACTAGAACTTTGAAAATTGTGGTTAAATTGGTACAAATGGGTCTTCGTATAGAGGGACATATAAAAACAAGCTAAGAAGTATCAGTTAGTTTTGCCGACAGATGTATACCCTCAGCCAATGTCGTTTACTTTGTTTAAAATTTGTGATCATTTTTGAAAAAGGTTGTAATGCGCTCGAGGTACCATATATATTTTGGTGGGAGGAAATTCTACATTTTTGGTGGGAGATACCAAAAGGATTGGGCAGATAAATCTAGTTTTCACATTAGATCTCTAATTAAGGGGAATATTTTGATATACCAAGTAGAAGAAGGAGAAAGCCAATATCTCGGATCTTGTGTTAGTAGAAATATTGACATGTATGTTATTTGAAGAGAATCGGATGTTTATTTTATTATTCAAAATTTTGACCCTTTGTGGGGAGGTACCAGAAGGAATGTTCTAATCTCTACCATCTTTTTAACAGATCTTGCGTTGATAGAAATATTGAGATGTGCCAAGACTGAATGGAATCGGATGTTAATTTTGCATTATATGAGTTTCATAGATGTTCAAAATTTTGAACCTTTCTGGGGGAGGTACCAGAAGGAGTGGACCGATATATCCCATCTTCACACCAGAACTGTGAATGTGATCATTAGTAGAAAAAATGGGATGTGTGTAATATGAAGGAAACCGGATGCTCCTATGTGGGGGAGGAACCAAAAAGAATGGTCCAATCTCTACCATCTTTTTAACAGATCTTGTGATGATAGAAATATTGGAATCTGCCAAGTCTGAATGAAATCGGATGTTAATTTCACGTTTTGCGACCTTCATGGATATTCAAAATTTTGTCCCTTTGTGGGGGAGGTGTTTGATGGAGTTGACCGATATTGGCACCTGGCCTAGCATTGATGCAAATATTAGGATTTGCAAAGTTGGAGCAAAATGGGATTATCCTTTCTCTTTCTGTGCAGTAAATTATTTTCGTTGATAATGTTGACATTTAGTGGGAGAGGTACCAGAAGGAGTGGGCCGATATCGCCCATTTCCGAACTCGATCTAAGTTTGACAATAATATTACAATGTACCATGATTGGATACTCCCTTCGAGAGTTACGTGCGCACCAACCAACCAGACAGACGGATGGACGGACGTATGGACCCCTCTAGATCGACTCCAAATGTCCTGAAACGGATTCGGTCCAAAGAGATCTAAGGACTAAAACCGTTATTACGATGAGCCAAGTTTTGGCCGTATCAAATTATATATACCCTGTCTAGCCATATAATAAGATGCATTGTGTTAGTAATTGATGTTCTCTGGAATGCGTGAGCCGATTTTATTTCTGAAAACTTCATATGAAAGGTCACGTCAATACCAAGGATTTATGAAATCATCTCAAAATATGTATTTTGAAAATATTTCAGCTAATGATAGAATCTTGAAATTGTCCATATGGGTCAATGTTGGTGTATAGGGTCGAGAAAAGCTTGAATTTTTTTCGAACTTTAAGTGTACTAAAAGTCCTAAAAAGCAATAAGTATGGTACCATTCGATTTTGTGCAAATTTTGCAAATCCAAATATTTTTGTCCGTGCAAGGTCAGGTGCAAAAATTGACAATATGGGTCCACTCTATCAAATACCTCCCCCAAAAAGGTTAAAAATTTTGAATAATTATGACTCTTATAAAATGTGAGATCAGAGCCCGATTGTCTTCAAATTTCAAGCATTACAAGATGGGATATATTGGTCTACTCCTTCTGAAACCTCTCCACCAAATCGGTTCAAAATGTTGAATAGCCATGAACCCATGAAACACGATATGAGCATCCGATTTCTTTAAAATTCGGCACATCTCAATATTTTTGACCAAACAAGATCTGGTATAGACATGAAACATATTGGACCACTCCTTTTGTTACCTCCCACACTACGGGTGAATATTTTTTATTAATTAAATCTCTCATGAAAAGCGAGGTAAGCACCCGATTCTCTTCAAATTTCACACATCCTAATATTTTTAATCATAATTGATCTGGTATGAAGATGGGCGATATCGGTTCGGTCTTTCCTCATAAAATGTGAAATAAGTATTTAATTCCTGTTAAATTTCGCACATTCCAGTATGTATATAAACACAAGATTTGGTGTGAAGATTGCAGATATCGGCCCATCCTTTCTGGTAACTCCCAAAAAGGGGTCATTACTTTCACAACTTATATCTCTAATGACTTGTGATACAAGTCAAATATTCTTCTCAAATTTGTTATGTCTTAATATTTTTCTCAACCATAGATCTGATGTGAATTCTGGAATTAATTGGTCAACGCCTTCTGGTTCCTCCTCCACAAAAATCAAGTGGAATACTTCGATCTGCTATATATGGTACCTAAAGCATATTTTAACATTTTACAATATCTCATAAAATGTGAAGGAAGTAGTCGATATAATCCTATATATTCCATTTATATCAGACTTATGTCAGATACAAAATGGACCACTACTTCGGAACCTCCCCATAAATGGCCAACAGTTTGAACAATCATAACGCAAGGCTGAGGGTATACATCTGTCGGCGAAACCGACTCATAATTTTTAACTTGTTCTTTAAAAGCTTTAAAAATTAGGCACTTAATTTCAATCCTTTTTATTTTATTTATTTTTTATTTTTTGATTTTTAGAAAATTGTTGTTTTCTTTTGTGTCCGAGAAATTTTTCCAATACCCCAACTATTTGTCATAATTCGAATCAGAAATCAACACCATATTTTTGTCACAATAAACCTGCAATTGAATATCCTCCCATAGAAATCAATAGAAGGATATCAGCATGTATTTGCAAATCTGTAAATACACGAAAATACACCTATTTTTTCATCTCCTCTCCAATATAAATAACTCATATGCCTACATATTTAGATATAAGTTCGTCTCTTGTAAATATCCTTATCTGTACAGTTTCTCTCTTTCTTGTAAATATTGAAAATTACAGAGTCTAGCAGCGCTCCCCAAGGAGATAACCGTAAGTTTTTTCAACATTTCACAAAATACAATGTTTTTTATCTTCTCTCTCGTTGAATGTGAAGTCCGCTCATTTATTATATATATTTCATTTAAATTATAAAACTTTGCATGTGTGTGTGTTAATTTTGTAAATTTGGTTTTCCAACGGCATTGCACTTGTTACCTAGAGACTTGTATAGCACCAACCAGCAGCAGCAAGAAACGCTCTCTGCATGATCCATTATTTTAGAATTTGCATGACATTTTTTTCTCAATCTCTCTCTCGTTGTCTCACTCTCAATGTGTGTGTACGAGTATTTGTGTGTGTTTGTGTAAATGTTGATCACTCGAAATAGATGGAGTGATCGATTTCGTTTTGATGCAACAGCACATTCACTCTCTGTCACCTCTCTCTTCTCTGAATTCCCCTCCTCGTCCAGGTCAAATTCATAATGGACCATGACACAACACTAGCCGAACTGCTTGGCCTGAATCTGCACGAGTGCGAAGAAGAAGTCAAGAACATCGTAGACAAGGCCGTCAAGGAAATGTCTATGGAGAAGATCCTGCGAGATCTCAATACCACGTGGTCTGCGATGGAATTCGATCACGAACTCCACCCACGCACCGGATGTAACCTCCTCAGAGCCTCGGAAGAACTCATAGAGACTCTCGAAGATAATCAGGTTTGTCTCCAGAATCTCATAACATCCAAGTACATCGCTCATTTCCTCGAAGAGGTCTCAGCGTGGCAGAATAAGCTGATGATCGCTGATCAGGTAATAACGGTTTGGTTCGAGGTGCAACGCACTTGGACACATCTCGAGAGTATCTTCATGAGTTCGGAAGATATCCGCAAACAGCTGCCAGTCGACTCGGATCGCTTCGACCGCATCGATGCCGAATTTCGCGTCCTGATGGATGAAATGGCGAACTCCTCGAACGTCGTCACATCCACCAACCGACCCGGGTTGATTGAACGCTTGGAGAGCCTGCAGAAGGAGCTTACACTGTGTGAGAAGGCGCTGGCAGAGTACTTGGAAACAAAGCGTTTGGCTTTTCCTCGTTTCTACTTTGTGTCGTCGGCCGATCTGCTGGACATCCTGAGCAATGGAATTCAACCGGACATGGTGACCAAGCACCTGACGAAGCTCTTCGACTCGATTGCCCGTCTGAAGTTTAATCGCGACGAGAAGAATGAGGTGGAGACCGCCTCGGGCATGTACGCCAAGGATGGCGAGTACGTTGAGTTCCACGAAGTGACCAGCATGCGAGGACCCGTAGAAGTATGGCTTAATCGCATACAGGCAGCCATGAGAGTGTCATTGCGTCACTACATTGGCGACGCCGTGGTTGCCTATGAGGAAAAGCAACGTGAACAATGGTTGTTCGACTATCCTGCCCAAGTGTCGCTCTGTGGCTCACAGATCTGGTGGTCCACAGAGGTGAACATCGCATTCAGCCGCCTGGAAGAGGGTTACGATAATGCCATCAAGGACTACTACAAGAAACAGATCTCCCAGCTGAGTTTGCTCATCACACTGCTCCTGGGCGAGCTCACGAAGGGAGATCGCCAGAAGATCATGACCATCTGCACGATAGACGTTCACTCCCGCGACGTCATAGCGAAGATAATTCAGGCCAAGTTGGATTCGGGTTCGGCTTTCATGTGGCAATCGCAACTGCGGCATCGTTACGACGATGTGGAGAAGGATTGTTTTGCCAACATCTGCGATGCTGAGTTCCGCTACAACCACGAGTATCTAGGTAATACGCCGCGTTTGGTCATTACGCCGTTGACAGATCGTTGTTACATTACGTTGACCCAGAGCCTGCATCTGGTGATGGGCGGTGGTCCGGCGGGACCGGCAGGTACGGGTAAGACGGAAACCACCAAGGATTTGGGTAGGGCCATTGGCATAATGGTCTATGTTTTCAATTGTTCGGAACAAATGGACTACCAGTCGTGTGGCAATATCTACAAGGGTTTGGCCCAAACAGGGGCCTGGGGTTGTTTTGATGAGTTCAATAGGATAACGGTGGAGGTGTTGTCGGTGGTTGCTGTCCAGGTGAAGTCGGTACAGGACGCGATACGAGACAAGAAGGATAAGTTCAATTTTATGGGTGAAATCATAACCTGTGTACCGTCGGTGGGTATTTTCATAACCATGAATCCTGGCTATGCAGGACGTACGGAGCTGCCGGAGAATTTAAAGGCCCTCTTTCGTCCCTGTGCAATGGTGGTACCGGATTTTGAATTGATTTGTGAGATTATGTTGGTTGCTGAGGGCTTTCAAGATGCGCGTGTTTTGGCGAGGAAGTTCATTACCCTCTACACGTTGTGCAAGGAGCTTCTGTCGAAACAGGATCATTACGATTGGGGTTTGAGGGCAATTAAATCTGTATTGGTTGTTGCCGGTTCCCTGAAGGTAAGTTGGGGAGATGATTACTTGAATGGTTTGTGATAAAAAAAAGTTTGCTGTGAAATGAGAAAAATAAAGTGAGGAAAAGAAAATAGTTCATTGAAAATGAATAGTGCTACTAAGAGAGTTCTGCAAATGCTCGGGTTTCTGCATTTTATGAATATTGTTCATAAAATTCTCTCTTATGAGTTTTATGACAAGGTAATTTCATCTTTGACAAAAAAAGATAAACAGGAGAGAAAAAAATCAGGCCAAATGAGAAACACTGCTCTCAGAGAGTTTTGCTAATGTTCGATTTCTATGAATTTATGAATTTAGTTCATAAAATTCTCTCTGAAGAGCATTTGGTTTTATGACTGAAGATTTCATCTTCATCTTGATCATAAAAGTGAGACAGACAGAAAACAATAGTCGACTCCAGGAAAAATGGGGGAAATAATTGTCAGAGGCGAGAGAAATTGAGAGAAATTTTTGGCAAAATATGAACAACTAAGAAAATAATTTTGAAATGTATGAATAGTTGACATATTTTTGAGAAAATCTTTGACAATTTTCCTGAAAACTATTTGCACTCATTGAAATATTAGAGAATATATTTTAGAACCTACCTTCACTTTCTTTCGAAGGTCTGGTATTAAAGAAATAATTCTAAGCTTCTGGGGATCACTTTCTTTCGAAGGTCTGGTATTAAAGAAATAATTTTAAGCTTCTGGGGAGCTGGATTCGGAACCCTATGTGCTGTCAAATTAATTTTTTTATAAAAGAGGATACATTATAAGACCCCGACGACTATTTTCTAGAGTTCAAGGCTTAAAACTCTAACTTATTTTATCACATCCCAGCAAACTTTTTGGGGAAAATGATAAAAGAATAACTTTATAACGAATGCTCTCTTTCGCCTACTCTCAAATCTCTCTCCCACCCTATGCACTCCCCTCTCACTTTCTTTTTGTCCAAATTATTCCCCGTTATTCGCCCTATCAGCGTGGTGATCCCGGCCGTCCCGAAGAGGAGGTGCTCATGCGAGCTCTACGTGATTTTAACATACCCAAAATTGTCACCGACGATATGCCAGTGTTTATGGGTCTAATTAGTGATCTCTTCCCAGCGCTGGATGTGCCACGAAAACGTGATCAAGATTTTGAACGAACAGTAAAACAGGCCGCCTCCGATTTATTGCTACAAACGGAAGATACCTTCATTCTAAAGGTTGTACAACTGGAAGAGCTACTGGAAGTCCGACATTCCGTTTTTATTGTTGGTAATGCTGGCACGGGTAAGACTCAAGTTTGGAAGACCCTATTGCGCACCTACCAGAATATCAAACGGAAACCCATCTTCAATGACCTGAATCCCAAGGCGGTGACCAACGACGAATTGTTTGGCATTATCAATCCGGCAACGAGGGAATGGAAGGATGGTCTGTTCTCGGTGATCATGAGAGATCAAGCAAACATAACGGGCGATCAACCCAGGTGGATTGTGCTCGATGGTGACATTGATCCCATGTGGATCGAGAGTTTGAATACCGTTATGGATGACAACAAAGTCTTGACTTTGGCGAGCAATGAGCGCATTGCGTTGACGCCTTCGATGCGTTTGCTCTTTGAGATTTCGAATCTGAGAACGGCCACTCCTGCAACGGTGTCCAGGGCAGGGATATTGTATATTAACCCGCAGGATTTGGGATGGAATCCGTAAGAACAATATTTTGAAATATTTGCATTTATTTCTAATGTTTTCTCTTCTGTTGCAGCTATGTCACCAGCTGGGTGGAGACCCGCAAAATACCCTCGGAGAAATCCAATCTGGTAATGCTGTTCGATAAATACATTCCTGCATCGCTGGAAACGATTCGAGTGCGCTTCAAGAAAATCACACCCATTGCCGAAATGGCCCACATCCAGATGCTGTGCCATCTGCTGGAATGCTTTTTGACCCCGGCTAACACACCAGCCGACTGTCCCAAAGAGTGGCACGAACTGTATTTTGTTTTTGCCTGCATTTGGGCATTCGGTTCGGCTATGTTCCAGGATCAAACCATTGACTATCGTGTGGAGTTTAGTAAATGGTGGGTAAATGAGTTCAAGACGGTCAAATTTCCACAGGGTAAGTTAAATGGTTCCAAACTTAAATTTAAAATAATTCCCCCTCCCTCTCTTTTTCATCTCAGGAGGCACTGTCTTTGACTATTATTTGGACAATGAAACCAAACAGTTTCTGCCATGGACCGAGAAAATACCCAAATTTGAATTGGATGGTGATTTACCTTTGCAGGCAGTGCTGGTCCACACCTCCGAGTCCATACGCATCAGATTTTTCCTGGATCTGTTAATGGAAAAGAAACACCCCGTGATGTTGGTGGGCACGGCGGGATGTGGCAAAACTGTGCTAATCAACGAGAAATTGATATCCCTATCCGAAAACTATGCTGTGGCCACCATACCCTTCAATTTCTACACCACCTCAGAGATGTTACAGAAAATCCTTGAAAAACCTTTGGAAAAGAAGGCAGGACGCAATTATGGTCCGCCGGGCAATAAGACCCTGATCTACTTCATTGATGACATGAATATGCCCGAGGTGGATTGCTATGGCACGGTGCAACCACACACCCTGATGCGCCAACATCTGGACTATGGTCATTGGTATGATCGCAACAAGTTGACCCTGAAGGATATCCACAATTGCCAGTATGTGGCCGCCATGAATCCCACAGCAGGTAGTTTTACCATAAATCCCCGCCTACAGAGACACTTTTGTGTCCTGGCTGTTAGTTTTCCCGGCACCGAGTCCATTACCATGATGTACTCTTCGATTTTGTCACAACATTTTGCTAATGCGGAGCAAAAATTCAACCCGGTGGTTATGAAAATGACACCCAACATTGTGGCGGCAACTTTGGCCCTGCACAACAAGGCATCGCAGGTTTTCCTGCCGACGGCAATTAAATCACATTACATCTTCAATTTGCGGGATATCAGTAATGTTTTTCAGGTGAGTTTTAGTAATGTTTGAAGATTTTAAACAGAGATCAGAATTAATCGCTCAAATTAGAGTAGGGAGTAAAATTCGCTCGAATTGGAGTAGAGAGTAAAATTCACTCGAATTGGAGTGAAATTATTTCTGCGAATGACTCATTTCTCCCGAAAATCCAAAGAAATTTCTCATCCTTTAGAAATAACAAAAATCACCCCCTCTCTTTTCCTTTACAGGGCCTCCTCTTCAGCTCAGCTGATTGCCTGCCAATGCCAACGGATTTGATACGCCTGTGGCAGCATGAAACCCAACGGGTCTATGCCGACAAGCTGACCGATGAAAAGGACATCGATAGCTTTACGAAGATGCAACACGACATTGTGAAGAAATCCTTTGAAGAAATTGACGAATCGGTGATCTTCGACAAGCCGAACATCTATTGTCATTTCGCTGGAGGAATTGGTGAACCTAAGTATATGCCAATAGCGGCATGGACTGAGCTTCACAAACTCCTCCAGGAGGCAATGTCTTCATATAATGATTTGGTTGCGGCCATGAATCTGGTGTTGTTCGAGGATGCCATGATGCATGTGTGCCGGATCAATCGAATACTGGAGTCGCCGAGGGGTAGTGCCCTGCTGGTGGGTGTGGGAGGTAGCGGCAAACAGTCATTGTCAAGGTTGGCGGCATTTATATCCAGTTTGGAGGTGGTGCAGATTCAATTGAAAAAGGGCTACGGGGTAGGGGATTTGAAGGTGAGTGGAGGGGGGATTTTGACTTAAAATCTTAGAGGGACGAAATTTTTATGTTCTCTTTCTCTCTCTGTCCTTAGAACGAATTCTCCGGCCTGTATTTGAAATCTGGCTTGAAAAATGTCGGCATTATGTTCCTCATGACCGATGCCCAAATACCCAGCGAGGATTTTCTGGTCCTCATCAATGACATGCTGTCGACAGGTGAAATACCCGACCTCTTTCCCGACGATGAAATCGAAAACATTATTGCAGGGGTGCGCAATGAGGTCAAAGGTGCCGGTTTGGTTGATACTCGGGAGAATTGTTGGAAATTCTTTATAGATCGGGTACGCAAACAATTGAAAATTGTTCTGTGTTTCTCTCCGGTCGGCTCGACGTTGCGTGTGCGCTCCCGGAAATTCCCCTCCATCATCAATGCCACCTCCATCAATTGGTTCCACGAATGGCCCCAGGAGGCGCTGATTTCTGTGGCCATGAACTTTTTGTCCCAGAACGAAGTGTTGCCCGATCATCATCGTGATTCGGTGGCAAAATTCATGGCATATGTCCACACCTCCGTCAATGCCACCTCTAAGGTGTATTTGCAAAATGAGCGGCGCTACAATTACACCACCCCGAAAAGTTATTTGGAACAAATAAGCCTCTATCTCAAGCTCTTGAATGGCAAGCATGAAGATTTGCAAAGCAAAATTGTGCGTTTGGAAAATGGCCTGGAAAAGCTGCGGTCCACAGCGGTGCAAGTGGCGGATCTGAAAGTAAAACTGGCAGTCCAGGAAGTCGAACTGAAAGAGAAAAATGAGGCAGCCGATGCTTTGATTGAAATTGTGGGCATTGAAACGGAAAAGGTACAAAGCGAAAAAGCCCTGGCCGATGAGGAGGAAATGAAGGTGGCCATAATTGCCGATGAGGTGTCGAAGAAGCAAAAGGATTGCGAAGAGGATTTATTGAAAGCCGAACCAGCCTTGGTGGCAGCCCAGGAGGCTTTGAATACCCTGAACAAAGCAAATTTGACAGAATTGAAATCATTTGGTTCCCCTCCCGGTGCGGTGACCAATGTCACAGCGGCTGTTATGGTCCTGTTGGCTCCTGGTGGCAAATTGCCCAAAGATCGTTCGTGGAAGGCAGCCAAAATTGCCATGGCCAAGGTGGACAGTTTCTTGGATTCTCTCATCACGTATGACAAGGAGAACATCCATCCGGAAATTATCAAGGCCATACAACCGTATTTGAAAGATCCAGAATTTGAACCGGAATTTGTCCGATCCAAATCGGGCGCCGCAGCTGGCCTCTGTGCCTGGGTCATAAATATTATTAAATTCTATGAAGTCTACTGCGATGTGGAGCCTAAAAGAAAGGCCCTGGCTGCAGCCAATGCGGAATTGGCGGCAGCTCAGGAGAAGCTGGCAGGGATCAAGAGGAAAGTGGCGGTATGTTGGCCAAATGTTTTTGTCCTCAGAAGCTGAGGCCTAGATTTTTTTCTATAGAAAAAAATAGTCCTCAGAAGCTGAGGCCTAGATTTTTTTCTAAAGAAAAAAATAGTCCTCAGAAGCTGAGGCCTAGATTTTTTTCTAAAGAAAAAAATAGTCCTCAGAAGCTGAGGCCTAGATTTTTTTCTAAGGAAAAAAATAGTCCTCAGAAGCTGAGGCCTAGATTTTTTTCTAAGGAAAAAAATAGTCCTCAGAAGCTGAGGCCTAGATTTTTTTCTAAAGACAAAAATAGTCCTCAGAAGCTGAGGCCTAGATTTTTTTCTATAGAAAAAAAAAATATTTTCTATAGAAAAAATAGCCCTCAGAAGCTGAGGCCCATATTTTTTCTATAGAAAAAATAGCCCTCAGAAGCTGAGGACTAGATTTTTTCTATGGAAAAAAATAGTCCTCAGAAGCTGAGGACCAGATTTTTTTCTGTAGAAAAAAATAGTCCTCAGAAGCTGAGGCCCATATTTTTTTCTATAGAAAAAAATAGCCCTCAGATGCTGAGTCCCTGATTTTTTTCTATAGACAAAAATAGCCCCCAAAAGCTGAGGCCCAGATTTTTTTCTATAGAAAAAAATAGCCCCCAGAAGCTGAGGCCCAGTTTTTTTCTATAGAAAAAAAAATAGCCCCCAGAAGCTGAGGCCCAGTTTTTTTTCTATAGAAAAAAAATAGTCCTCAGAAGCTGAGGCTCTGATTTTTTTCTATAGAAAAAATAGTCCTCAGCGGCTGAGGCCCAGATTTTTTTCTATAGAAAAAAATAGTCCTCAATAGCTGAGGCCCAGATTTTTTTCTATAGAAACAAATAGTCCTCAGTAGCTGAGGCCCAGATTTTTTTCTATAGAAAAAAATAGTCCTCAGTAGCTGAGGCCCAGATTTTTTTCTATAGAAAAAAATAGTCCTCAATAGCTGAGGCCCAGATTTTTTTCTATAGAAAAAAATAGTCCTCAGCGGCTGAGGCCCAGATTTTTTTCTATAGAAAAAAATAGTCCTCAGAGGCTGAGGCCCAGATTTTTTTCTATAGAAAAAAATAGTCCTCAGAGGCTGAGGCCCAGATTTTTTTCTATAGAAAAAAATAGTCCTCAGAGGCTGAGGCCCAGATTTTTTTCTATAGAAAAAAATAGTCCTCAGAGGCTGAGGCCCAGATTTTTTTCTATAGAAAAAAATAGTCCTCAGAGGCTGAGGCCCAGATTTTTTCTATAGAAAAAAATAGTCCTCAGAAGCTGAGGCCCAGATTTTTTTCTATAGAAAAAAATAGTCCTCAAAAGCTGAGGCCCAGATTTTTTTCTATAGAAAAATAGTCCTCAGAAGCTGAGGCACAGATTTTTTTCTATAGAAAAAAATAGTCCTCAGAAGCTGAGGCCCAGATTTTTTTTTCTATAGAAAAAAATAGTCCTCAAAAGCTGAGGCCCAGATTTTTTTCTATAGAAAAAAATAGTCCTCAGAAGCTGAGGCCCAGATTTTTTTCTATAGAAAAAAATAGTCCTCAGAAGCTGAGGCCCAGATTTTTTTCTATAGAAAAAAATAGTCCTCAGAAGCTGAGGCCCAGATTTTTTTCTATAGAAAAAAATAGTCCTCAGAAGCTGAGGCCCAGATTTTTTTCTATAGAAAAAAATAGTCCTCAGAAGCTGAGGCCCAGATTTTTTTCTATAGAAAAAAATAATCCTCAGAAGCTGAGGCCCAGATTTTTTTCTATAGAAAAAAATAATCCTCAGAAGCTGAGGCCCAGATTTTTTTCTATAGAAAAAAATAATCCTCAGAAGCTGAGGCCCAGATTTTTTTCTATAGAAAAAAATAATCCTCAGAAGCTGAGGCCCAGATTTTTTTCTATAGAAAAAAATAATCCTCAGAAGCTGAGGCCCAGATTTTTTTCTATAGAAAAAAATAATCCTCAGAAGCTGAGGCCCAGATTTTTTTCTATAGAAAAAAATAATCCTCAGAAGCTGAGGCCCAGATTTTTTTCTATAGAAAAAAAATAATCCTCAGAAGCTGAGGCCCAGATTTTTTCTATAGAAAAAAACAGTTCTCAGAAGCTGAGGCCCAGATTTTTTCTATAGAAAAATAGCTCTCAGAAGCTGTGGCCCAGATTTTTTTCTATAGAAAAAAATAATCCTCAGAAGCTGAGGCCCAGATTTTTTTCTATAGAAAAAAATAATCCTCAGAAGCTGAGGCCCAGATTTTTTTCTATAGAAAAAAAATAATCCTCAGAAGCTGAGGCCCTGATTTTTTTCTATAGAAAAAAAATAGTCCTCAGAAGCTGAGGCCCAGATTTTTTCTATAGAAAAAAACTGTTCTCAGAAGCTGAGGCCCAGATTTTTTCTATAGAAAAATAGTTCTCAGAAGCTGTGGCCCAGATTTTTTTCTATAGAAATAGTTCCCCCTAAAATATTGCCCTTAGATTTTTAAAAATTGAAAAATTGTTCTTCCGTTCATTTCAGAGTTTGGAAGAACAATTGGCCAAGCTAACAGCTGATTTCGAACAGGCAACAGCTGATAAGTTGCGTTGCCAAAAGGAGGCCGATGCTACACAGGCAACGATTGCCTTGGCCAATCGTCTTGTGGGTGGCTTGGCTAGTGAAAATGTGCGCTGGGCTGAGGCCGTAAACAAGTAGGTTCGATCTTTTGGTTACCAGAAATATAATCTCAAAAATCCTCTTTCAGTTTCGTCAAACAAGGTATCACCCTGCCTGGGGATATTCTGCTCATTACCGCCTTCATCTCCTATGTCGGCTGTTTCACCAAACAATTTCGCATTGATTTAATGCAGAAAATGTGGACTCCATTCCTGAAGAATTTAGATCCACCCATACCGACCACAGAGAGTTTAGATCCCTTGTCGCTGCTTACCGATGATACCACAGTGGCGGTTTGGACCAATGAAGGGTTGCCATCGGATCGCATGAGCATTGAAAATGCCACGATTTTGTCGAACTCCGAAAGGTGGCCGTTGATGATTGATCCTCAGGTGAGTTGTTATACAATTTTTGGAGAATATCAGAGATAGATTGGTTAAAAAATATTTATTTCAGCTTCAAGGTGTCAAATGGATCAAAGAAAAATATGGCGAGTCCCTGACGGTCATACGCATGGGCCAGCGCAGCTATTTGGAGACAATTGAAACGGCCATCACCAAGGGCCACACTGTGCTCATAGAAAACATAGATGAAAACCTGGATCCGGTATTGGATTCCCTGTTGGGCCGAAATCTCATTAAGAAGGGAAAGTAAGTATTAGAGGGGGAGAGGGAAAGAAGAAATTCATTGGAGAATTAAATCCATATTTTGTGTATCATTTCAGAGCCATCAAAGTGGGTGACAAGGAAATCGAATACAATTCCAATTTCCGCTTGATACTGCACACCAAACTAGCCAATCCTCACTACAAACCCGAAATGCAAGCACAAACCACTTTAATTAACTTCACTGTGACCCGTGATGGCTTGGAAGACCAACTACTGGCTGAGGTTGTTAAGGCTGAACGACCGGATTTAGAAGAGCTAAAGGCCGAGCTGACAAAACAACAAAATGATTTTAAAATAATGCTCAAGAAGCTCGAAGATGATTTGCTGTCCCGATTGTCTTCAGCAGGACAGAATATTTTAGGTGACACCGCCTTGGTGGAGAATTTGGAGACCACAAAGAGTACAGCTTCAGAAATTGAACAAAAGGTAAGTGTGAAATATATTTATAGGGCCATAGAAAGGTGATGACTCAATTTTGAATTTGTTCTAGGTGGCCGAGGCCAAGATAACCTCCAAAGAAATCGACAAGGCTCGAGAATATTATCGTCCGGCGGCAGCCAGGGCCAGTCTGCTTTATTTTATCCTCAATGAGCTGAACACCATTAATCCGATTTACCAATTCTCTTTGAAGGTAAAATAACTCTAGTTTTTTACTTAAAAAAAATTAAAATAAAATGGGCTACACAACAAGGTCTACTGGGGGTACATGACACCAAACAACACAAAAATTAATTGTATTTAAAACCCTGTAGATTATGAAAAATCTGTCCCTCAATTTTTTCCTAATTATTTTAAAATACCAACAAATCAAAATCATCGAAAATATCACCCCCATAATCTTTTGTCTTGCGGATCTGTGAAATTCAGAATCAAAATACCAGAGTTTGTGAAAGTTCTCCTTTAAAAATCTGGAACATCTGACAGAAAATCTATGCTTAAAGCCCCAAATCTACTATTGTGACGGTTTCAAAAATTTTCAATATGAATAATTCTCACTCACTTAGAGGGAAAATTTCTCCCTTTTGCACATTTTTGAAAGTTTCGGATGAAGATTCCCTGGAATCCTTGCGTTTTAGGTATATACAGGATGAGATGAAAAAATTGGAACCAACTTCAGACTGTTGACATTTCTAAGTCACTCGTCCGAGAGCTGTTAACATTATTCCAGTGACAGCTCATTATATTGTTTACAAGCGTACAAAAGCATTTTGGTGAGAATTTCCCCGGAAAAAAGTTATTCGTGATGGAATTCAAGCGTGATAGTGTGAATTCTTTATATTTGGCTGGAAAACCACAAGTGGCTATCGTTAGAGCACTCCAGCATTTAAATGTGAAAAAACCTTTTGTGTCTCGTACCGTCGCTCGTTACCGTGATACTGGTAGCGTAGCCCGACGTCAAGGAAGTGGACGGAAGAAAACAGCAACATCAGCGAAATGGTTCGAAAAGTAAAGAAGCGACTTGATCGGAAACCGAGTCGCAATGGCCGAAAAGTGGCTCGTGAGCTGAACATATTGCAATATTCCATTCGGCAAATATTGAAAAAATGAGCTCGGGGTAAAGCCATTGAAATTCTAAAAAGTGCAAGAACTTACACCGCAACAGAAAGAAAATAGACTCAAAAGAGCTAAAGAGTTGCTTTGCTTGGTTGGTGAACTGCCGAATTTGGTTTTCTCCGATGAGAAAACATTCGCTGTCCGACAGTTTGTAAACAAACAAAATTATCGTGTTTACTTGCCAAAAAGGTCAACTGAAAATGTACACCTTCGGTTGGCCACCAGAACTCAAGCGCCAGCAATGGAGATGGTGTGGGTAGCCATAACAGCCGATGGTCGCTCGCCGCTCGTATTAATCGACCGTGGCATCAGAATAAATGCCGAATATTATAGTGAAAATATTCTGGAGGGTGTATTTAAGCCTTGGGCACGCAAACATTTTGGCCGAAGACTTTGGACATTCCAACAGGATTCAGCACCATCGCACTCAGCACGCGCCACTCAAGAATAGTTACAAAATGAGGTTCCACGGATCATTTCCAGCGCACAATGGCCAAACTCCGGAATACCGATCCGTTGGACTACTGGGGCTGGAGTATTTTGGAAAGCAAGGTTGGCACTAAAAAATACCAAAGTGTCGATCAACTTAACCAAGCGCTTCGCCGGGCCAAAATACCGCGGAACAACTTTCGGGCAGCAGTTTTTTTTATCTCACCTTGTATTTCTCAAAACTTAATATAGATCTTTGAAAGTTTGTAGAGAACATCAGATTATTTAAACAATCTTTGGTTTAAAAAATGGGTCATGTCAGACCATTTTTTGGTATAGTCCCTATATGTAAGGATAAATCCCGATTTCAATTTTTTTTAGGTTTTGGTTATATGATCCACTAAATTTAGCGAATTTGAGTTCTTGTAATATGGAAAGGCTTCTGACCAAATATTATCAATATAGGCCCGCGTTTTGGTAGAAAAGAACAGAATATTAAAACTAAAAGCTTGTTAGCCGCTACATATTTTTGGGCTGGTAAGATAATGAAAAAATCGGAAATTAATTACGAAAAGTCGAATTTGCCATTAGAGACTACTTCGACTGTAAATCATTTCAACCTAAAAATCAATAAGTCGGATGTTGAATTTCGTATTCTTTTTGAATACCGAAATTTAAATAATCAATTACCCGAAAATCGACTTATGTCTCCCCATCCTAAACAATTTTTTTTAATTTAATTTTATTCCCCGTTTTCTAGGCCTTCAGTGTGGTCTTCCAAAAAGCCATAGCCAAGGCAGAGCCAGGCGATACCTTAAATGTGCGTGTTGCCAACCTTATCGACTGTATTACCTATTCGGTGTTCCAGTACACGAGTCGAGGGCTTTTTGAATGTGACAAATTGATATTTACCTCTCAAATGACATTCCAGGTAAGTTTTACAAAGCGAGTAACGAGAAACAGCTGATCTGAAATATAATGTACATTGCCAACTACATATCAACCCAACTTGACTCCTTGATTGGGTTGCCAACCTGGTTTTGTATGTAAAAAATCAAAGCTCCAAACAGAGTGGGAGTGAAAATGCTCCTAATAGAGTAAGATTTTAAGCTTAAATTGAAATCGAGTGGAAGGAAATAATCTCTCCCACGAGTAAACTCTATTTGTTTATCCGACTCGAATAAGAGCGACTTGGTTTCTGTAAACGTTCTTTTCCCCACCAACGCATGATAACATCAAAACCTGTTTCCTACTAAACACGATCACACACAACTTCAAACAATTTTTTCACTTGCTTTTACCCTTTGAGTAAACCTATACTCTATTTCCAGAACCTTGAGTTTCGGGCATGAGTAATTCGCGCGCGCTCTCACATAAAACAAGAGAGTGGAAAGTAAACTTCGTGCTAAACTCATACTCATCATTAAACTCATAAATAATTCAAGCACTCCAGCTTTAGAGCATTTTTCACTCACGAGTAAAAACGAGCTTTGATCAATTAAGGCATTTCTACACACCTATCATAATTTCGATTCATTTTCTTCCAGATTCTATTGATGAGCGAAGAAATCACTTCCGCGGAACTGGACTTCTTACTTCGCTTCCCGATCAAACCGCATGTGACAAGTCCCGTAGACTTTCTCTCGAATCAATCGTGGGGCGGAATATGCAGTCTATCGTCCAAGGATGAGTTTCGCAATTTGGATCGTGACATAGAGACGTCTTCGAAGCGTTGGAAGAAATTGGTCGAATCTGAGCTGCCGGAAAAAGAGAAATTCCCCCAAGAATGGAAAAATAAAACAGCTCTGCAAAGGCTGTGCATGATAAGGGCTCTTAGGCCGGATCGTATGACCTATGCATTGGCGTAAGTGTGATGAGGTTTCTTTTTCAATTTTCAAATTAAATTTATTTCCCCAATTTCCACAGAGATTTCATTGAGGAGAAATTGGGGTCAAAATATGTGGAAAATCGGGCCATGGAATTTGCCAAGTCCTATGAGGAGGCCTCGCCTTCTACACCCATATTCTTTATATTGTCTCCGGGTGTAAATCCCCTAAAAGATGTTGAGGCATTGGGCAAACAATTGGGTTTCACCATGGATTTGGGTAATTTCCACAATGTTTCGTTGGGTCAGGGCCAGGAGGCCATTGCTGAGGCTGCCATGGATATTGCCGCGAAAAATGGACATTGGGTGGTCTTGCAAAATATCCATTTGGTAAGGAAATGGTTGCCCACCTTGGAAAAGAAACTGGAATACTATGCCGAGGGATCCCATGAGGATTATCGCATGTTTTTGAGTGCCGAACCGGCCTCAACGCCCTCGGCCCATATTATACCCCAGGTGAGACAACTTCTCAAGTAAATATTTTATCTTCTTCAAATGTATTCCTCTCTTTTCCAGGGCATTCTCGAATCCTCCATCAAAATCACCAACGAACCTCCCACCGGTATGTTGGCCAATCTCCACAAAGCTTTGGACAATTTCACCCAAGAGACCCTGGAAATGTCTAGCAAGGAAGCGGAATTCAAGGCTATACTTTTCTCTCTGTGCTATTTTCATGCCGTGGTGGCGGAACGTCGCAAATTCGGGCCTCAGGGTTGGAATAAGGTCTACCCCTTCAATGTTGGAGACTTGAACATAAGTGTATCGGTGTTGTACAATTATCTGGAGGCCAATGCCAAGGTACCATGGGAGGATCTGCGTTATCTGTTTGGTGAGATTATGTATGGCGGCCACATCACCGATGACTGGGATCGCAAGCTGTGCATTATGTATCTGGAGGAGTACATGCAGCCAGATTTGGTGGATGGTGAATTGTTTTTGGCCCCGGGATTTCCGGCTCCACCCAACACCGATTATCAGGGCTATCACAATTACATTGAAGAGAATATGCCGGCAGAGTCCCCATATTTATATGGTCTGCATCCAAATGCAGAAATTGGTTTCTTGACCACGCGGGCGGAAAATGTCTTCCGCACGGTGTTTGAAATGCAGCCAAGAGATGCAGGGGCTGGAGGTGGGGCCACCGTGACCCGTGAAGATAAGGTGAAGCAAATTGTGGATGAAATCATTGAAAAGCTACCAGAGGAATTCAACATGGTTGAGATAATGAACAAGGTGGAGGAGAGGACACCCTATGTCATTGTGGCCTTCCAGGAGTGTGAACGCATGAACTATTTGACCAGTGAAATGAAACGGAGTCTCAGGGAACTTGATTTGGGTCTGAAAGGAGAATTGACCACCACCTCCGATATGGAGGTCTTGGAAAATGCCTTATTCCTGGATCAGGTGCCTCCCTCATGGGCCGCCCGGGCTTATCCTTCGTTGCTGGGGTTGAATAACTGGTTTATCGATTTGTGTTTGCGTCTGCGGGAACTGGAGACATGGTCCACAGATTTTGTGGTAAGCCATTGAAAAAACATTTGATTTTTTAAAATTAAATTAAATATCTTCTCCCCTTAGCTCCCCTCCGTGGTATGGCTGGCCGGCTTCTTCAATCCCCAGTCACTGCTGACGGCCATTATGCAAAGCACAGCCCGGAAGAATGAGCTGCCATTGGACAAGATGTGTCTCGTCTGCGATGTGACCAAGAAACAAAAAGAAGATTTCACGTGAGTATTGAAATTGAAATCAATAAAATGGTTATTGAACGAGCGAGCGAACGAACGGACGGAACGAGCGGTGGGTCGGTAGGTCGGTCGCCATCGCTTGATCGAACGCCTGGCATGGCAATTGATCAGCTCGACAATGAAAGTGGCGACCAAATCGTACACTTTCCCATTAATAAATGAATAAAAAATGTAATTTGTCTGTCAGATTGAATGCATGTGGGTATGTGTGTGTGTGTGTGTGTGAGTGTAAATTCTGTTCATTATTCAATTGACACTTTTACTTGGCCTTTTCCAAGAAAATTATATTTTCCCCCCTTATTTTTCGATGGCCCTTCTTCCCACATTATTTTGATCAGTGATCAGTTGTCAATCTGAGGTCGTTCAAATCATGACCGATAATTAATGGGTATTGAGAGAAAATTTTATTTTACTATTGGTGTTGTTGTTCTTGTTGTAAGTGTCGGAAACTATGGTTTTAGGAAGATCAGTAGACCCCTTATTGAAGTTCAGATCACTTTTTTGGAGATCTCATAAAATATAAGGAAATACTCTCAGAGAAAATCTTGAGATATTCTCAGAGAAGATGATGAGAACTTCTCAGGTCGACAATGATTTCTTCTCTGGACGAAGGAATTCAATAAAAGACCCTCAGCACCTCACTAGAAGCCATATAAGCCTTCACAGGAAGATATTGAGGCCTTCAGCAGAAAACCCTGATTTCTTCACCTGAAGACCCTTTACTTAAAGACCCTCAGGTCTTCACTATAGATCTTGAGGTCTTCAAGAGAAGACCTTGATGTCTTCGAAGACCTTGCGGTCTTCACTAGAAGACCTTGATGTCTTCGAATACCTTGAGGACCTTCATTAGAAGACCTTGATGTCTTCGAAGACCTTGAGGTCTTCTTCACTAGAAGACCTTGAGGTCTTCTTCACTAGAAGACCTTGAGGTTTTCACTAGAAGACCTTGAGATGTTCTCTAGAAGACCTTAAGGTCTTCACTTGAAGTCCTTAAGGTGTTCTCTAGAAGACCTTGAGGTGTTCTCTAGAAGACCTTGAGGTGTTCTCTAGAAGACCTTGAGGTGTTCTCTAGAAGACCTTGAGGTGTTCTCTAGAAGACCTTGAGGTCTTCTTCACTAGAAGACCTTGAGGTGTTCTCTAGAAGACCTTGAGGTGTTCTCTAGAAGATCTTGAGGTGTTCTCTAGAAGACCTTGAGGTGTTCTCCTGAAGACCCTGAAGACTCCAGAAGACCTTGAGGTCCTTACTAGAAGAGCTTGAGGTCTTCCCTAGAAGAGCTCGAGGTCTTCCCTAGAAGAGCTTGAAGAAGACCTTGAGGTCTTTACTAGAAGACCTTGAGATGTTCACTAGAAGACCTTGGGGGCTTCACTAGAAGACCTTGAGGTGTTCTCTTGAAGACCTTGAGGTTTTCAATGGAAGACTTTGAGGTCTTCATTAGAAGACCTTGAGGTCTTCACTAGAAAACTTTGAGACCTTGACTGGAAGACCTTGAGATCTTCATTAGAAAACCTTGAGGTGTTCTCTAGAAGACCTTGAGGGCTTCACTAGAAAACCTTGAGATGTTCTCTAGAAGACCTTGAGGTCTTCACTAGAAGACCTTGAGGTCTTCACTAGAAGACCTTGAGGTCTTCACTAGAAGACCTTGAGGTCTTCACTAGAAGACCTTGAGGTCTTCACTAGAAGACCTTGAGGTGTTCTCTAGAAGACCTTGAGGTGTTCTCTAGAAGATCTTGAGGTGTTCTCTAGAAGACCTTGAGGTCTTCACTAGAAGACCTTGAGGTGTTCTCCTGAAGACCTTGAAGACTCCAGAAGACCTTGAGGTCCTTACCAGAAGTGCTTGAGGTCTTCCTAGAAGAGCTTGAGGTCTTCACTAGCAGACCTTGAGGTCTTCACTAGAAGACCTTGAGGTCTTTATTAGAAGACCTTGAGATGTTCTCTAGAAGACCTTGGGGGCTTCACTAGAAGACCTTGAGGTGTTCTCTTGAAGACCTTGAGGTTTTCAATGGAAGACTTTGAGGTCTTCATTAGAAGACCTTGAGGTCTTCACTAGGAAACTTTGAGACCTTGAGATCTTCACTAGAAAACCTTGAGGTCTTCACTAGAAGACCTTGAGGTCTTCACTAGCAGACCTTGAGGTCTTCACTAGAAGATCTTGAGGTCTTTACTAGAAGACCTTGAGATGTTCTCTAGAAGACCTTGGGGGCTTCACTAGAAGACCTTGAGGTGTTCTCTTGAAGACCTTGAGGTTTTCAATGGAAGACTTTGAGGTCTTCATTAGAAGACCTTGAGGTCTTCACTAGAAAACTTTGAGACCTTGACTGGAAGACCTTGAGGTGTTCTCTAGAAGACCTTAAGGGTCTTCACTAGAAAACCTTGAGGGCTTCACTAGAAAACCTTGAGATGTTCTCTAGAAGACCTTGAGGTCTTCACTAGAAAACCTTGAGGTCTTCACTAGAGGTCTTGAGGTCTTTTCTAAAATGCCTTGATTTACTCACTGGATGATATATTTATGCTTTTATGGAAGAAATAGTGATCCCCTCATAGAATAGTTCTTGTTACCCCTTGATTCTCTCACAGAAGCTTTGTTGATGTTTTCGTCGAGGAGCTACACAATTTTTTTTTTTTTTTTTTAATATTTAATGACCTTCTGATCCATATTCTATTCCATAGAATACTTCATGGTCTTTCGTCGTAGGTCAGCTCACGGAATATCTTTAAATCTTGTTCTGTCCTACATTTTTTCGGCCACATGAGTTCAGTGAGTAATTGAAGGCACATAATACAAGTGGATTAGCATTATTGGGGGCATTTTGTATTTATTTCATTTAATTTCTATTTTTTGTGATTTTTTTCTTTTTTGGTATTCGTAGATTCGAAACATTAGAATAAGTAAACAAAAATAAAATTGATTTATGGAAATTCGTACGAATTAAAAGAAAACAGACAAATAAACCGCAGCGCCATATAACAAAGGTTGTTGTTTGCCATGGAACAATTATAAATCAATAAACGACGACGACGACAACGGCGATCCTAGGTGTTGTTGTTGTTGGTTCTTCATTAATGAGAAATAATCGAAAATTTGCAATGAAATTGAAATATTCAAATTCGAACACGACTGATTACCACAATAATACAACAGCGACGACAAGTGACGATGGCGAGCCATTCGATTGGCGACATTTGGACGTTATCTGTGGCGGGAGCGTCATCAATTTAGAACATTGGCTCCATTCAATTAATACTTTGTGTCTTCCAAAAGAGAAAACAAAAACTGGAAAAAGAAAAATGTGAAATTGAAAACTAAACGCTGCAGCCACCCATTCAATAGTCGCAGCAATAATTCGTGGTGGCGTCTATCAACGCTCGGAGATTTTGCTGGCCATTGTGCGCTGGAAACGAAGCGAGGAACCTTATTTTGTAACCATTCTTGGGTTGCGCGTGCTGAGTGTTGTTGGCATGTCCAAGGTCTGCGCCCAAAACGTTTGCATGTCCAAGGCTTTAATGCACCCTCCACCCTATTTTCGCGATAATATTCGGCATTTATTCTGCTGCCACGGTCGATTTATGCGAGCGGGGAGCGACCATCGGCTGTTATGGCGGACCACTCCATCACCATCACAGTGGTCGGCGCTTGAGTTCTGGTGGTCAACCGAAGGTGCACATTTTCTGCTGACCTCTTTGGCAAGTAAACACGATCATTTTGTTTGTTTACAAACTGCTGGACAACAAATGTTTTCTCATCGGAGAAAACCAAATTCGGCAGTTGACCACTTTCGGCCAAGCGAAGCAACTCTTTTTAGATCTTTTGAGTCTATTTTCTTTCTGTTGCGGTGTAAGTTCTTGCACTTTTTGGAATTTCAATGGCTTTACCCCAAGCTCATTTTTCAATTTTTGCCGAATGGAATATTGCGATATTTTCAGCTCACGAGCCATTTTTCGGCCACTACGACGCGGGTTTCGATCAATTCGCTTCTTTACTTTTCGAACCATTTCTGCTGATGTTGCAGTTTTTTTCGTCCATTTCTTTGACGTCGGGCTACGCTTCCAGTAGCACGGTAACGAGCGATGGTACGAGACACAAAAGACTTATTCACATTTAAATGCTGGAGTGCTCTAACGATAGCCACTTGTGGTTTTCCAGCCAAATATCAAGAAATCACACTATCACGCTGGAATTCCATCACGAGTAACTTTTTTTCTGTGAAATTCTCACCAAAATGCTTTTGTACGCTTGTAGACAATATAATGAGCTGTCACTGAAATAATTTTAACAGCTGCCGGACGAATGGCTTAGAAATGACAGCAGTCTGAATTTGGTTGCAGTTTTTTCATCTTACCCTGTAGATCTTCCCAAACAAGATTATGACTTTGAAATTCTGTCGGGCGGTTACCAATTAGTTTCGAAAACCTAATGCCGATTCCGAACCACTGTGTCACAATCTCAGTTTGTCGTCCGGTGGCAGCATCTCCCCCAATATTAGATAATTGAGTTGTGGCCATAGCTAATTAATCGATTACATCCAGCGACGCTCAGTTTATTTTCTTAAATGTTTTATTTTTAGAAATAATTATTTAATTTGTAATGAGGGGGCGAGAGCACATTCAGCCCACAATTTTAAATGACCCTCCACTCGTCTTGTGTAATTACTGTTTACTTTAATTGAGCAAAAAAAACGTTAATTGTTTTAATTAATTTTGTCTAACAATTTTGTTCCGCTTTTTTCTTTACAGATCAGCGCCACGAGAAGGCGCCTACATTCATGGAATATTTATGGAAGGCGCCAGATGGGACATCCAGCAGGGTATAATTATGGAGTCGCGACTCAAAGAGCTGTATCCGCCGATGCCGGTGATAAATATACGGGTAATTTGAAATAATTAAAATTAAAATACATTGTTGTATTTCTGAGAAAGTTCTAACTGAACGATTACAGTAGAACCTCTCTTAGCTCTAATGGAAGGATAATAGCTGATTTTTATATTTTTTTTATGAAAGTTGTCAAACATTAGGGGGAAAGATATAAAAATAAATCTTTCAAAGGATCTTGCAAAATTTTGAAGAAGAGTTGTGAATTTTTATAAATTTTTTGGAAAGATATTTAAATTTTTTTTTTTTTGGCGAATAACCTATAACTTTTGTAATCGTAGATTTTTTTAATTTTTTGTTTTGAAGTACCATGGGGGTTTTTTGGCTCTCAAAACCTATTGCAGTGAATTTTTAAGAATACTTGTAAGGACTATCCAGAGCTACTATCGTGCACTTTAAAGGACATTTTAAGGCCTATCAGGAATTTTTAAGGATACATTTTTGAAGCACTAACATTAATTTGTAAAGGAAAAATTTAAAGGACTACTGCTGATTTTTAAGGATATTTGTTGAAGAAATACCGAGATATTTTCAAGGAACATTGTAGATTTTTTAGTGCCTTACAGACCATAGTAGATTTTCAAACATATTTTTGAAATGATTATCGTTAAATGTGTGAGGATATTTTTTGACTTTTAAGAATGTCAGGATCCACAGAAGTGGGTTATTTTTTAAGGATATCTTTCTAAATGCTGTTTTTCAAGGAAAATTTTTGAAGGACTATTGTGGATATTTAATTATATTTTAGATTTAGCTTCAATGTCTGAGATTCTTTAAGAATATTTTTGAATTTTAAGGGTAGTGCATCAAGGTTTTATCCAGACCCATAATTTTGGATTTTTAAGTTCCTTGTTTCGTGAACTATTTTGTAAATCTAATAATAGCTTTCGAAGGTCTTTCGTGGATTTTTAAGATAATTTTCAGGGTCATCCAGAGCTATAATAGTATAGGATTTTTAAGGATAGCTTCTGGATTTAAAAAAAATTAAAAGGACTATCCACGATGTTTAAGAAATTTTTGTATTAAACGACTATCATCGATTTTTATGCATATTTTTGTATGTCTATGTAGGGCTATAATTTTGAATATTTAAGATTGTTGCTTCGAGGACTAGCTGATAGGGTTCAGAATATTTTTTGGATTCTAGTGGATTTGTTAAGATATTTTTTTGGGGGTAATCCAGAGCTATAATAGTGGATCAGGGATATTTGACAATTTTTAAAGACTATCCGGACTTTTAAGAGTATTTTCGTAATGACTATTCAGATTTACAAGCGTGAATTTTTAAGTATACGTTTGTACCAGAAACCTAATCGTAGCTTCTTAAGGGCATTATTAAAGCATTGTTCTAAAATGTTATTGAAATATTTTAAGGACGTTTCTGAATACTTTCGAAGAAGTATTTGTCTATTATACTTGAAGAGTATGTTCAAGGATTATTCCTTGATTTTTAAGTATTTCTATGAAACACTATTGAGTGTTTTATACATATGGCTACAGAGGGTATATATAATTTGAAAAAGTGCTTCGTCGAAACAACGGTTTTAGATCCTAGGTCTATTTGGACCAAACTTGTTCCAGTACATTTGGAGTCGACTCTGTCCGTCCGTCTGTCTAGATGGTATTTGAAGTTCGTAATGGATACTACAGCCTATGATAGAAATTTGTCTGTCCAGGTCCACGTCTTCGTATAGCCCCTATGTAATGGCACCTCCCGATATTCGGTATTTTGGTGATTTTAGCGACATTACTCACCGATTTTTTTTTAATTTCGCATTTGAATATTGTAGTGGCTTATGACAAAAGCTGCCAATGCAGGTCCACGTCGCCGTATAGACCCTAATATAACAGCTACATTCGGCATTTTTAAGTTTTAACAGATTTTTTGACGGATTTTATTGTTTTGGAGAATTGCCAAATTCGTTCCAAATGGCGGAGGCTACTCAATGTTCGACCGGCCGAACTTACAGCTTTTTTACTTGTTTACCCATTCAGCTATCATCTCCAAATGTAATATATCTCAATATTTTTATCAATCCTAGATTTAATGGGTCATGGGTCGATTTGACCCATATCGATACACTCCTTCTGCTGTCGACAAACTGATACTTTTTAACTTGTTCGATTATTTTTTGAAGAGCTATTATGGATTTTTAAGGATATTTTTGAAGGACTTTTAAGTACATACATATATGTAAGGATATAAGGATCTGAATCGGGATTTTTTATAGTTACTATCGTAGGACTTTTCAAGGACTATCCTATGCTATAACCGTGAATTTTTTTCCTTTATATGTATGTGTAAATTTCAACAATATTTTTGAAATATTTTGAACAAGGATATGGCTTCAAAGATATTCAAAGATATACTCTTTTTTTATAATAATTTTGAAAAATCGTGGATTTTTATATATAGCTTGTCCATATACTCCATATTCCAGATCTATCTACATTTACTACTTTTAGACTCGTCCATAAACATTCTGTCAGATCGCCTATAAGCTTCCTTATCAGCTCGTCTATAGACTCCCTTTTCATCTCGGTTTCGGGCCCTCCTTTGGCTCGTCTATGGACTTTATTTCAACTCGCCTATAGACTCACCTCATTAATATAACCTCTCTTTATATCTATCTATAATAACATCCAAATTCTGTAAAGCCCCGTCCTACTGCCGGTTATAATAATTGCAAAATCTAAATACCGTTGTCAACCGATTTTTCCTAATTCTATAGCCTGGACATTTTATAAGGAATTTGCTCCATTTTTGGTAAAAATTTTTGTTCTGTAATTATTCTTCTATTCGTTTTTTTGTATTGTTTTTATTTGTTATACAATCCGAAACATATTGCAAAAATACTCGCCAATATTTCCATTTGAATTGTAAAACTTCAAATTCTTGAAATCCTGAATAAAATTTAAAAGTCTGTTATTCAAGCAACAAAACTATTCGAAATTAAATCGAATAAACCGAAATGATCGATACGTATCGATTTACTAAACCAAATTTAAATTTCAAAAATACATTAATTTATGCTGGCTGGCGTCGCACTGACTTCACGTGTCAGTCGATCGGTCGCTTTGCTTAAATAATTCATCAAATGTTTGTTATTGTTGTTGTCCTTACTCTGATTTTTCTCTTTGTTTTTTTTTTTCATTTCTAGGCCATCACCCAAGACAAGCAAGATTTACGCAACATGTATGAGTGTCCTGTCTACAAGACCCGCACCCGAGGTCCCACCTATGTGTGGACATTTAATTTGAAAACCAAAGATAAACCGGGCAAATGGACCCTGGCCGGTGTGGCATTGCTGTTACAAACTTAGAATGCAAAAATAAACTTCCACTGCACGAGTTACTACCCACTCCTGTTCTTCTTCGTCGAGTACACATAAATTAGTTACTTACATACAAACATATTTATTAGCACTCTGTTAAATTTAAATGTTTTTTGCAATTCCTAATAAAAAATTGTTGCCTTAGGCGAAAATACCACTACAGCAGAATTTGAAAAAAAAAACTATCTAAGAATTTTCTCTTTTAATTTTGGGAAAGGTGAGTTTAATTTTCTAGGAAATAATTAACATTTTTGTTTCCTCCCCCTGGATGATGAAGGTGGGAAAAAACTAATTGAAATTTTTATGGAGAAAATTGGCAATAACTCTGGCATTTAGTTTATATGCTGATATGAACTGAATGCCTGTCCGCACGTGTTGGGAATGTGAAATGGGTCTGTTAGTTATGCTCTGGAATTTTGTTATTTTTCCACGCACACACACACACCGATTATGCTAATCCTTAGGTGGGAGATATTAAGGTGGGTCGTCAAATGGAAAGGGGTTCTTGTAGTTTTCATATTTAATTAAACATTAATGAATATTGTAACCATTCAAATAAATACTATTTTCAAACTGTTTACAATAAAATTCAAATAAAACACAACTAAAAAAGCTGCAAGTTCGACCGGGCCGATCTTTGAATATTCTCCAGCATGTGGAACGATTTTGGCAATCTTCAAAAAAATAAAACCCGTTAAAAATTCTGTTGAAATATTAAAAATGCCGAATGTGGCCGTTATATTAGGGTCTATACGACGACGTGGACCTGCATAGGGAACTTTGGTCATAAACCATTACAATATTCAAATTCGGAACTTGAATAAAAAATTCGGTGAATAATGTAGCAAAAATCATCAAAATACCGAATATCGGGGGGTACCGTTATGTGGGGGCTGTACAAAGACGTAGACCTGCACAGACAATTTTCTGTCATAGGGTGTAGTATCCGTTACGAACTTCAAATACCAAATTTGAAACATTTCCGTTGAATAATGTCGCTTAAATCACCAAAATACCAAAAAAAGGGATTATGTGGGGGCTATACCAAAACGTGGACCTACATGACCCATTTTCAGTACCAAAAGTCCTGCAGACATAATACACATTTGAGTGAAATTTTATAATCCTACTTCATTTCGTTCGGAAGATAGAGTGATTTCCACAGACGGACAGACGGACGGACATCGATATAGAATTTTATGCTGATCAAGAATATATATAATTTGTGGGGTCTAAAATGTACATTTCGAGGTGTTACAATGAAAAACGTAATATACCCTCCATGCTATGGTGAAGTGTATAAAAATATTATATGGGACACCGAAGTTAAAAAATAATCTCCAATTAATAATTAAAAATTGATAAAAAAAAATATATTTTTTTTATATTTTCCAACCCATTCCATTGTACACACCCCTAATTACCCAAAACTATTTGAAATCATTAAAATAAATTTCAATTCTATTTTGCACAAAGTACTACAAGATCATTACGCATTTTCAGCCAATAACAACTACAACAACAATTAAATAACCCCAACTGATAATAAAATAAACAACAATAATTGGGTGCGTAAAAATATCGACAGACTTACTGACGGAACCTCAGCCGAAAAGCAGGCCACATGTGGCAAAAGGAATTTCGTAGTTGATAATTCACGTCACCACGTCGTTCGGATTGAAATATTCACTTATGTATATATTTATTACACAGAAGATTCGATTTCATTTGTTTAGATTTGAAAATAATAATTTTTTTTCTTGATTTGACAAACGATGAAAGGATGACGACACAATTGACCAATCACAGCGTGTCCAATGAGATGACACAGCGACTTCCAGCAGCCATCACTCAGATAATGAGTATTTGATTTGAAAATAAGCGAGTAGTTTTAATCAAATATTAGATTTATATGTTTGTACTTATGTGTGCACGTGTGTTTGTACTTTGAAAAAAGCCTGATTAATTGATAACAGTCCCATTTATTCCAAATTATTCTATTTTCGAAACTTCAAATCTTCGTCCGACGAGAATTTTTTCAATTATAACTAAGGAACGGAAAATTAAGGTTTAAACACCTTAATTGTCCAAAGGTTCATTATAAAGTAATGAATTACCAAGTAATGTAAAACGGCGTTATAGAGTGTGCACGTACTAGATCATTGGTTCGGATTTCATAGACTGTAGTATCCATTTCTTTCATAGGCTGTAGAATCCATTACGAACTGCAAACACCAAATTTGAAACAATTCCAGTGAATAATATGGCTAAAATCATCAAAATACTTAACATCGGGAGGTGCCGTTATATGGAGGCTATACGAAGACGTGGACCTGCACCAACAATTTTCTGTCATAGGCTGTAGCATCCATTACGAACACCAATTGCCAAATTTGAAACAATTTCGGTGAATTTAGTCGCTAAAATCAACAAAGTACCGAATATCGGGAGGTACCGTTATATGAGGGCTATACCAAAACGTGGACCTACATGGCTCATTTTCAATACCAAAAGTCCTGCAGACATAATATACATTTGAGTAAAATTTTATCAATCTTGTTCGGAAGCTAGACTGATGTCCACAGATGGACGGACATCACTAAATCGACATAGAATTTTATGCTGCTACCATTCGAAAGGAACTTAAACTATTTCAAAAAAAAAAATTCCGTCGAAAATTTTCGATCAAATGAAAACCTTTGTATGGGGGCTATACGAAGACGTGGTGCTGCATAAATAATTTTTTGTCATAAGCTGTAGTACTGATTCCGAACTTCACATACGAAATTCAAAACAATTCCGGTGAATAATGTCGTTACTATCATGGAAATACCCAATATCTGGAGGTACCATTATATAGGTGCTATACTTAAACATGGACCTATATAGACGATTGTCTTCCTGGGGGTAAAGTACACACAGGGAACTCCTTGTGTGGATTTTCATGCAATTCCATAGAAACATTTGCCTACAATAATCAAAAAACCGAATATCGGTAGGAATCGCTGTATAAGAGATGCACGATTTCGTGGACCTATACAGGGTGAGATGAAAAAAGTGCAACCAACTACCGACTGCTGTCATTTCTAAGCCACTCTCCCGACAGCTGTTAAAATTATTCCAGTGACAGCTCATTATATTCTTTACAAGCGTATAAAAACATTCTGGTGGGAATTTTCATGGAAGAAAGTTATTCGTGATGGAATTCAAGCGTGATAGTGTGATTTCTTTATATTTGGCTGGAAAACCACAAGTGGCTATCGTTAGAGCACTCCAGCATTTAAATGTGAATAAATCTTCGTTACCGTGATACTGATAGCGTAGCCCGACGTAAAGGAAATGGACGGAAGAAAACAGCAACATCAGCAGAAATCGTTCGAAAAGTAAAGAAGCTACTTGATCGATTCGTGAGCTGAACATATCGCAATATTCCATTTGACAAATATTGAAAAATAAGCTCGGGGTAAAGCCATTGAAATTCCAAAAAGTGCAAGAACTTACACCACAACAGAAAGAAAATAGACTCAAAAGAGCCGAATTTGGTTTTCTCCGATGAGAAAACATTCGTTGTCCAGCAGTTTGTAAACAAACAAAATGATCGTCTTTACTTGCCAAAGAGGTCAGATGAAAATGTGCACCTTCGTTTGGCCACCAGAACTCAAGCGCCGGCTATGGTGATGGTGTGGGCCGCCATAACAGCCGATGGTCGCTCTGCGCTCGAATTAATCGACCGTGACATCAGAATAAATGCCGAATAGTTTCGCGAAAATATTAATTAATTATTAAAGCCTTGGACACGCAAACATTTTGGCCGCAGACTTTGGACATTCCAAAAGGACTCAGCACCATCGCACTCAGCTGTGGCTGGAGTATTTTGGAAAGCGGGGTCGGCACAAAAAAATACCAAAGTGTCGATCACTTCAAGCAAGCGCTTCGCCGTTAATGGGCCAAAATACAGCAGACCGACATTCGGGCAGCGGGTGACGGTTTCATTGGCCGTTTGAAGGCCATAATTCGTGATTCAAAATTTTCCAAGTCAAAATTTGGCTGAACAATTTGTATTGTGTCTAGGATGATTGGTATTACATATTACGGTACCTCCCGATATTTGGTATCTTCATGATTTTTACAATATTTGTTCACCGATTTGTCTAAAAATTGGAACTTGTAAGGTCATAACGAGTTTTTAAGCTCCGATGGCGAAACTTTGTATGTATTTGTCCACGTTTTTGGTATAGCCCCACATAATGGTACCTTCGGATATTCAGTATTTTGAAGATTTTTGCCACATTTTTCCACGGATTTGTCTAAAAAGTGGTATTTGTAGTTCATAATGGTTTCTAGATCCGGTAGGGCAAAAATGTATAGCCCCCATGGAACGGTACCTTGGTATTTATTTGTAGTTCGCAATGGGTTTATGATTTTTTGAAAAGTTGAGCTGCATTATCCAAACGGTCTTACTGGATTTTGTAGTTTAAATGGAACAGGTAGTCAAAGTTCGAACTAAATGTCTTTTACTTGTTTTTTGTGTTGCACAGTGTTTTGGTTTTGAGTGATTTTTTTAATTGATGTCAACTGCGTTCTTCTATTTCTGGTGAAGCCTTTAGTTGGACTTTCCATGATTAGCGATAATACGGTCATGGAAAATTTCCCATTGGAAAATCCCTTCATCATTGCCGTCCAATGACTACCTGAACCTACTAAAAATCCAGATGCTTGAATTCTCAGGAAATTTTAATAATTTGGAAATCTCAAATCATTAAATGTGTCATATGCTATTCTATAGACATTAGTCGCTTTTGACACTTCAGAGGAGTATATGAAGGATGTGATTTCTTTGAGATTATATTAAAACAATTGAAAATATGTTGTCTCCTGTGGAATAAAACATTGAATAACAATTATATTAAGAGCTAAATAACTAAATTGATTACACCAGTGTATGAATATGAGATACGATGTAATATCCAATAAAAATTATTTAAAAACTACTGCCGAGACTATTACTAAAAATCAGATAATCAAATTAAAAACTTTTCATAGAAGAAATATTCTCCGTAAGACTTTGTAAACTCTCAGTGACACAAATTTAAAAACTTGTGAAAGAAAATAGAAATAATTTGAAAAATTATTATTTTAAAAGAAAATTTAATTAATTATACCCTCAGCCATATGACTAGAGAGGGTATATATCATTCGATACGGCCAAAACGTGCCTCATCGAAATAAAGGTTTAAGACCCTAGGTCTCTTTGAACCAAATCCGTTTCAGGACATTTAGAGTCGAACCAGCGATGTCCGTCATACCCCATGAGAGGAATAATCATAACTCAAGGCTGGGGGTATAAATCTGTCGGCAAAACCGAGACTATTTTACTTATTTTTTTTTTATATCGACACATTTGATGGTATACCTTCATAATCAAATTTCCAGGAATTCTTTCTTACCTGGCTTAGAGCAACCTTTCTTTTGTAGAAATTTCCCAGATTGCAAGGAATTTTTGTGAAAACAGAATGGATTAGCATATCTTGATTTATTTAGCCCACTCAGCTACAGTTTCCCAAATGGAAAATCGCCGCAACGATGGCAACGACTCTTCCGACATCTTCTTGTGTGGCAAACACATCCATCCATACATTATTCATGAACACATGCCGCCGGTGTGGAGATCGCTCGTATCGTGGCGTACGTGCAGCACCATCGGCTGGTTAGCCGATGAACGAGTCGTTAGGTGGAGGTGGTTGTGCTGTGAGATGACTATAAAACCGGCAAGCTTGGCACAGTCGCACGCAAATCGTTAACAGAGATTTAAACCGCTTTGTGGCAGTTATTTGAAAGGTCCTTAAGATTCCCGCTAAGAGCAAAGGTGATCTCATTGCTTATCAATTTCACCGAAAAAGCGTTTAAAATAAAAATACATAAAAAAGTCCATTCGCCAGGCCATCAATGCTTTATGGACGAGTGAATCGGCAATCAATGCTGTTTCTAACTGAACCTTAACAAGAAAAAAAAGAAATTCTTCGTTTTTGGGCTACGTGATGATGCTTCACTGAGGTAGGATATCCACAAATCTTTGGATGCCCCATTGGCAAAACGATTTACGTCTCACGTTACCCACCTATCCAGAAAATACCTGGCGAATCTTGTGGTGGCGGCCATCATCGGCAATCGTTTGAACTTTCTACACACTTTGGTTTGGTGTCCATTGGAACTCTTGACTTGCTGACGACGAAAATCACAGCAGCAGCAACAACAACAGCAACAGAAATCCATAATTTTCAAGTAATTTCGCTGCTTTCGTTTTATGTTGCCGGACTGGCTGGCCGAAGGTTTCGTGGCAGCCACCATCCATCATCGTCACCACCAGACCAGCACACACAGAGACCCACACACAGCCAGCCACAACGTTCTCTTGAGGCAGGCAACGCTGACGTCGTTGTCGGTCGGTCATATCAGCCAACAAAACGGCCAGAGTCAGTTGTCGGCTTTTTGGTTTGAATCGATTCGATCAGTTTGCAATTTGCTGTGATTCGTGTATGTTTTATGATTCGGAAAGAATTCGCGCGCGCCACTCTTGAAAAAATATTTTCATTTCAAATCCATTTCGAAAATTCAAATTTCTTGAATGAAAGCGTGCAAAACTAAAATCGTTTTTAAGAAATAAATAAAAAAACACAATTTTTAAAAATAAAAAATACGATTTTAAAACAATTAAATTTTTGTTAAAGAAAAGAAGAAAAGCAACCAACAAAAAGTATTAACCCAGCGATTAAGTGCCGCATTGAAAAAAGTGTTCGCTGTGCTCAATTATCGTGGTGTTTGACCCATTTTTGGAATAAAATTTTCCTCTGGATTAAGAAACAAACAAAAAGAGCGACAAAGCTAGCAGTCCACCTCTTGGATTATCTCTTGATTTCGAATTTGGATTACTGTGTTACCACAAAGAGGCATAAACATGAAGCTGTTTCCCCTATTCTTGGCAAGTAAGTACCAAATGCTCCAGAATTAAGTAATATATATTTTTTGGATTATAAAAACAATTAAAAAAAAAAAAAACTTTTGAGTAACACTAAAACGTAGCCGCCTAGGTCTGCCCGTTAATACAAAAGTGATTTCTAAAGATCGAAAACAGAAATACAACAGTTCTTAGCCACAACAATTGGATGACACAGACGATGTGGAGTCCTGTATAAATATTCTATATTTTTAGATATTTTGAACATTTGTAGAAAAAGCTCCAGTAGGATCTAGGCTTGATAGAAATATTAAGATGTTACGCATTAGGATATCAGAACATGAAATTCTACACTGAAAATTAGAAGTAGACTCCACTAGTTCAGGACTTTAAGGTCACAGTTCACTATCTAGTTCAATTGTCAGGATTCGAATTTTTTACTCAGTTTGTACACATAGACCATAAGGGGGTAAACTACTTGAGTGAATGAAAAATAGAACAGAAAGTCTGTTGAAAGTTATGGAGGGTCTCGATCGGAATCTAATTTTATTTTTTAAGATAACTGAAAAAATGTAACATTTAAAATTCAAAAGCAGCAGAGATACCCTCCACCACTTAGAAGGAACTTGAAAATTTTCAAAAATACCGTTTAAATGATAATTTTTATATGGGGGCTATGCGAGGCGGTGGACCTGCATATGTATAATTTTTTAATAGGCTGTTACGTACTTTGAATACGAAATATGAAAAAAATCGGGTGAATGATGTCGGTAAAATCATATCGCGAGGTAACGTTATATGGGGGCTATATGACAACGTGGACCGACATGGTCCATTTACGAACTTAACCTGCCTATTGGTAAAATACACATGTGTGCAAAATTTTAACCTTCAGTCTCGATTTGTTCGAACAACAGACATACGCTGATCCAGAATATATACAGGGTGATATAAAAAAACTGCAACAAAGTCAAACGCCATCATTTTTAACTTTTCTTTTTTAAATTTTAATGAATGAAAGCAAAAAATGTCGGAAATAGCATCAAATTTCAGAATAAGTTTAGATTTGTTCGAATTGGTCAGCTTTGGCACGAATTATAGCCTTCAAACGGCCAATGAAACCGTCACACGCTATCCGAATGTTGCTCTGCGGTGTTTTGGCACATTCCCGTCGAAGCGCTTGCTTGCGGTGATCGATACTTTGATATTTTCTACTGCCAACCATGCATTCCAAAATACTCCAGACATAATAGTCCAACGGATTGGTGTCCGGAGATTTTTGTGGCCATTGTGCGCTGGAAATGAAGTGAGGAACCCTTATTTTGTAATCATTCTTGTGTGGCGCGTGCTGAGTGCGATGGTGCTGAGTCCAAGGTCTGCGGCCAAAATGTTTGCGTTCCCAAGGCTTCAATGCACCCTCCAGAATATTTTCGCAATAATATTCGGCATTTATTCTGATGCCACGGTCAATTAATACGAGCGGAGAGCAACCATCGGTTGTTATGGCGGCCCACACCATCACCATGGCCGGCGCTTGAGCTCTGGTGGTCAATCGAAGGGGCACATTTTCAGCTGCCCTCTTTGGCAAGTAAAGGCGATCATTTTGTTTGTTTACAAACTGTTGGACAACGAATGTTTTCTCATCGGAGAAAATCAAATTTGGCAGTTCACCACTTTCGGCCAAGCGAAGCAACTCTTTAGCTCTTTTGAGTCTATTTTCTTTCTGTTGCGGTGTAAGTTCTTGCAATTTTTTCCAATTTCAATGGCTTTACCGCGAGCTCATTTTTCAATATTTGACGAATGAAATATTGCGATATGTTCAGCTTACGAACCATTTTTTGGCCACTGCGACGCGGGTTCCGATCAAGTCGTCGCTTCTTTACTTTTCGAACCATTTCCATCTCTGCTAATGTTGCTGTTTTCCTCCGTTCACTTTCTTGACGTCGGTATCACGGTAACGAGCGATGGTACGAGACACAAAATATTTATTCACATTTAAATGCTGGAGTGCTCTAACGATAGCCCCTTGTGGTTTTCCAGCCAAATATAAAGAAATCTCACTATCACGCTTGAATTCCATCACGAATAACTTTTTTTCTGGAAAATTCTCACCAAAATGCTTTTGTACGCTTGTAAACAATATAATGAGCTGTCACTGGAATAATTTAAACAGCTGTCGGACGAGTGGCTTAGAAATGATATCAGTTTGAAGTTGGTTTTTTTTCATTTTTCATCTCACCCTTTATATTTATATAAAAGCCATAATTATCCACAAACAAAACAATAAGAATAAAAATTGCAAAACCTCCACAAATATTGTGTGGTCAGAAACTGAACTTAAATTCGGGATTATAGTCATTAGACATTTATTACATAATAACGAGCGCTGGTATACTCTTCCAGAAATAACGCTAAAAATTTGTGATTGCCACACTGGAAGTCTCTTCAAAAAAATGCTCCTAAAAAGTCGTGATGTACTACCAAATGAACAGCTAACATTCTTAGATTATGGCCCGGATATATTCACCAAAAAATCCAAAATAGTCACAATAAGAGCCCTATAAAAATACTTACAAAATCGAAATTTAAAGACAAAGCCTTTTAAAAATTCTTTTTAAAAAATTTAAAATAAGGCATTAAAAGCTTCCGCAAAATACCCTTTAATGCCCAATTTAAAAGTCTCATTAAATAGTACTCATAAAAATATCAATAACCCTTGGAGGCTTTCTAAAAACACTATTTCATTATTTTTTTATAGACATGAGAACCAATGAACAATATTAAAACAAAAAACAATTTGACTATATTACTCACATCCTGTCAAAAAATACTTCAAAAATACCCAATTTTGGTTGAGAGAATATGGAATATTATATTGCAGATATTCTAAAATTTCACTATGGATTCAGCAAAAATTGGTAGAAGCTTCAATGCTTCTTCAAAAATACTGTCATGGATTAACTATTACAGACCGAAAAGACATTTCAAAGAAACCGCTTTAAACCAACTTCTTCAAATAAACCGCTAACAGCTTCTCCAATATGCTACCAAAAATCCATGATAATGTTGTTTATTTTTCCTGGATGTCCGATGGGCGTCTATTTTACTATTCGAACTTAAAAATTATACTATTATACCATTTATGATTCACATAAATCCCAAAAGTCCATTAAATCATAGAATAGTTTCTAAAACAGATCATCGATCCATTAGTCATCAACAGTCAATTTGTTTCACTCTTAACTATTTGATATTCCACACCAAATCCAAAAAAAAAAACAATGTAATTATCAGCTGCTGGGAATACAAAATATGGAATTGGATAACGCGACATTTAAATGCAGCCGAGACCAATGATGAGGGAATTTATCTGGGATTGAAATTCTCCGGCATTGCTGCCTGCCGCCACTAGGTCTGGTGGTCCGTTCTGTTTACAAATTCAGTCGTAGAAGAAAATGTGCGTCATTGGCAGTCATGTGCGTCGTGTTTTCATTTGTTCTTCTTCTACTCCTTTCTACAATAATGCAGTTTTTTTTTGACGATGCTTCTCTGGGTGGTTGCGAGCAGATTGCATGACAAATAGGATTTCTACACAGGAGTGTATGTATGTACATGTGTGCGTGTAATTACTTAATCAAATCACAGAAATCCCATTAAAATATTTGTGTTTATTCCATGAACTCGACCATAAATCCCAATAATGGGTGTGTTTTAATTATTTCGAATAACTAAATAACAAATTGAAATACCACCACCGCACACACCACTGCATCAAATTTCGTATTTCAATACTTTCAGCTATTGTTTTCAAAATTTATTAAATTGCTCCGTTCTGACGACAGATATTTATTTTCGATCTGTCTTATCAGGAAATTATTCATTGATGATGATTTCACTTCATGTCACTGCCTGGCTGCCTGTGACTGCCTTGTGATTAGAAACGATCTGCGTAAATCCACATGTACATACATATGTATGTGCATATGTACGTACGTACGTATGTATGTACGTTTATATTTGATAGTTGTCGGGTTCGTATGATTTGTTGGAACATTATTTTGTTTCATATTTGTTCTTCTCTGTCTCTCTGTCGTTCAAATAGAGGTCGGACATTGAACCCCCAGAATTCGCATAGTGAAATGGCCATGGAAAATTTTCAATACGTTTTGAAAACCTTGAGTTTTATTATTATTTTTTTTGGCAAAAGAAATTGCGAACTTATTTGCTGATTTATTGATAGTTTTTTGGAAAACTAAAACACGTTCTATGTTTTCTCTACTTTGCGGGATAAACATGAAAAGATAGAAATGCATGACGAGCTGTCTCCCATTTTTTTGTCGTTCACACATTTTTGTCGTTATTTTATTAATGTGTTGATTCTGACAAAATATTAGAGGCGCTCTGTTTGAAGTATGTTGTCTTATAAAATATTAATAAAAAACAAATTATAAAAAATATCAGACGGTTTGCAGACGGATAAATAACTCAACCCATGATTTATTTATATACGTATATATACGAGTCATATCCAATCTATAGATGAGACCTCCATTATCAAAAAAAAAAAAAAATTAACATAAAATCAAAAAGATTGGATACAAACTTGCGACTTTATGACTTGTGACTTTTTGAAAGGAATGTCTTGCATAAAGCCTTTGCAAAAAATATTTAAAATGCACAATGACCTTTTTGTCCTGAAAATCCTTGAAATAAATATTCATAAAAAATTATATATTTTTAACAAAAAGTTTTTGGATCCGCAATTATTGACCAGGGAATTATAAAAATAGTCGTAAAAATCGACATCCTTGAAGTAAACATTTCCTTGAAACATCCCAAATTTTTGTCGCTACCACACCAATAAATTTTTGGCAGATATTTTAAAAATTGCGATTCTTAAGAGTTTGAAAAATATTTTTGAAAAATTTTTGCACCTAGCGAAAGAAAATACAAGGTGAGATGAAAAAACTGCAGCCAACTTCAGACTAATGCCATTTCTAAGCCAATCGTCCGACAGCTGTTAAAATTACTCAGCTCACTATATTGTTTAAAAGCGTACAAAAGCATGTTGATGAGCATTTTCCAGAAAAAAATTATTCGTGATGAAATTCAAGCGTGATAGTGTGATTTCTTTATATTTGGCTGGAAAACGGTAAGTGGCTATCGTTTTAGCAATATTTGAATAAATCTTTTGTGTCTCGTACCATTGCTCGATACCGTGATATTAGTAGAGTAGCCCGACGTCAAGGAAGTGCACGGAAGAAAACAACAATACAGGCCGAAATGGTTCGAAAAGTAAAAAAGCGACTTGATCGAAACCCGCATCGCAGTGGCTTGTGAACTGAATATATCGCAATATTCCATTTAGCAAATATTAAAAAATGAGCTCAGGGTAAATCCATTAAAATTCCAACAAGTGCAAGAACTTACACCGCAACAGGAAGAAAAGAGACTCAAAAGAGCTAAAGAGTTGCTTCGCTTGGCCGAAAGTGGTAAACTGCCGAATTTGGGTTTCTTCGATGAGAAAACATTCGTTGTCCAGCAGTTTGTAAACAAACAAAATGATCGTGTTTACTAGCTAAAGAGGTCAGCTGAAAATATGCACTTCGGTTGGTCACCAGAACTCAAGCGCCGGCCATGGTGATGGTGAGGGCCGCCATAACAGCCGATGGTCGCTGTCCGCTCGTATTAATCGACCATGGCATCAGAATAAATGCCGAATATTATCGCGAAAATATTTTGGGGGGTGTATTAAAGCCCTGGGTACCCATATCTTGGACATTTCAACAGGACTCAGCACGCGCCACCCAAGAATGGTTACAAAATGAGGTTTCTCACTTTATTTCCAGCGCACAATGGCCACCAAAATCTTCGGATACCAATCCGTTGGACTATTGTGTCTGGAGTATTTTGGAAAGCAAGGTTGGCACTAAGAAATACTAAAGTGTCGATCACCTCAAGCAAGCGATTCGGCGGAAATGGACCAAATTACCGCAGAGCATCATTCAAGGAGCGTGTGACGTTTTCATTGGTCATTTGAAGGCCATAATTCGTGCCAAAGGTGATCAATTCGAACAAATCTAAACTTATTCTAAAATTTGGTGCCATTTCCGACATTTTTTGCTTTTATTCAATAAAATTAAAAAAAAATTAAAAATTGTGCCGTTTGACCTTGTTGCATTTTTTTTATCTCACCCTGTAAAACCATTTTCATGTTATGGGTAAAAACTGGGATGTGGAATGTCTGAAGAAATTTGAAATTTATGTCACATTCAATTCGGAATGCCATTAATATTCAAAGTGTTGAACTTTTGTGAGGGAGGTATGGGAAGGAGGGTCCAAAATTTTCCATATTCGCAACCTACGTAATGAGGACATCATTCGCATTAGGAGTCCTAAAAATATATATCGGACATTTTTCCGAGATCCTCGTGGCCAATCATCTTTATAATTGATCTAATATTGGCAAAATTATAAGACTATGTAAAGTTTAAAAAAGTCGGACACTTATTTCACATTTAATGAGAGTTTTTAAAATTTAAATTTCTCAACTTTCTCATCCGATCTTAGTTTGAAATATGTGTTTCCAAGTTTGAACTATAACGGGTACTAACTTCTCTTTATTTGAAATTTTATTATTTTCTTGAAATTGAACATTTGAGGAGGAGTCACGGTAATCTTTTACGATGTGTAAAGTTTGAATCAATTCGCATACTCTCCTCAAGAGTTATTGAGTACACCCGCCAGACGTACGGGCAGCATTACATCAATTCCAAATATCCCTAAACGAAAATGGTCAATATTTTGAAAAGTTAAAACTCAAATCTCAAATATAGATTTTAAAGTACGCGAACATTTCAAAACTTTTCACATCGTTTTAGTTCTATACAATATTATAATAAGTTTGAACTTGAACCATAAGGGACCATTCCTTGTGACAGGTCTTATATCATGTTGCGGCGTCAGAATGTGATTGATAATCTTTGGAAATGTGTGTAATGATATTAATATTTTTTCCTCTTTGTTTTTTCAGTGGCCATCTTCGTAATTTCTTTCGTAAACTCAGCTCCAGCACCTGGAGACACGGAATGTGAGTTCAATTGTGATCTGCAGGACTACAAGCCAGTGTGTGGCACAGACGATAGCGGCGATACCAAAACCTTCAACAACATGTGCATAATCAAGACAGAGAATTGTTTGCGAAAGACCTGTAAGTATTTGTCATCAATCCGAGATCACAATTTTTCACAAAGCTTGTAGGACAATGTATTTATAAATTTAATTAAACTCATTCTAAAATATTAAAAATTTTGGAATAAATTACACAAATTCACCAATTGCCTATTCTTTCTCTTTACAGCATACCAGAAAACCGGCGACGGAGATTGTCCATAAAAACTCGAGATGACCCAGTGCTTTACTTCTTAATTTTAACTTTAAACATTTTCGAAATATTACTATCATATCGTAATTAACTTTTATTCTTATTATACATTAATTTAAACTACATGTCGCTTTAGTTCTAAGATCAGTCAAAAACAATCGAACAATCGCTTGATCTATCGATCGCTGTAATTAATTGTATATCTGCATTTCTCTTGACTCATTATTTTTTTCATTTCAATATTCTCACAGCACAATTAGAACTAGAATAACACATAGAATTATTCTTAAAAATCAAACAAATTGAATATTTATCACATCTATTAAATAGTTTTCAAAAATCATATTAACACACCACAATACTTGGAATCGATGAAGAGGGAAGAAAAAGGAATTTTCACACAGAACAAATCCGAATTTCCATAAGTCAAAAACCATTGCAACAATGATGAATTTGATTTATTTCAAAAACAATATTGTGTCTTTAATTCCCGAAAGATGATGTTTTGATGGTATTTGTGTGATATTTATACGAAAAGTGAAAACAATCAAAAATAACAACTCATAATTTCATCCGCACTATTTTATTAACTCGTTTGTGTAACTCGTAATAAGCTATTGTATACAAAATGAAAATTTAAATAAAAAATCAAAAAAAAAAAAAAAAATTGGTTTTTCTTTTTATTGCACTGTGGGGAATTTTAATTATGATTCAGGTATTTGGTCAATATAAAAAATCCACTAAAGCCTTTAGTATTCTTGGATCATGCTACAGAAAATGAACACAAGGTTCTAAACTGGAGGTCAAAATATAATAAATAAATTTTTTTCTGAAACATTCATGGCAATCCGCATGGTAATCCTTTGGATCTTTTAAATTCCAATTTTTATTTTTCACGTTATGTTTAAAGAGTACTAAAGTGTACTTTATACCGACACCCTAATTATGCGTTTTAGGAAGATTCGTCATTAATATGACGTATAATCTAAGAAATTGATAGGTTTAATAGCATAGCCGGTATTCGGGAAAAGCTGAAATATCATAAAATCGCATTTCGAAACCAACACTGGGGCTCAATTCTTGTTCTACGAAAATGTGAAATGAAAAGGAAAGAAATTTTAAAGGAAAATTTTATAGAGGAAATATTTTTCATTTCATATTTTTTGTAGGCCCGTGCTCGATTCCTCATTCATTTTCACAGTCTTATACTAAGGTGTATACAACAACATTAGTAAGGACCTTGAAAATTATAAAAATCAGTCGAAAATTACCGCTTAAATTAAAACTTTTATGTGGGGGCTATACGAAGTGCTGGATAAGAAATTTTTTTTGTGATAGGCTGTAGTAACGATTCCAAACTTCTAATATCTGCTAATATCATCCAAATACCGAATACAGAAAGGTACCACTGTATGGAGGCTATACTAAGACGTGGACCTGCATAGACAATTTTCCATCATAGGTTGTAGTATCCATTACGTTCTTCAAATACGAAATTTGACGCAATTCCGGTTAATAATGTCGCGAAAATCCTGGAAATATCAAACATGTTGTGGTAGCGTTATATGGGTGCTGCACTAAAACATAGACCAATATAGACAATTCTCTTCCAGGGGGTAAAGTACTCAGATTTTCCATCTGAATTTCAGGCTATCCCATTGAAAACTATTGCTAAAATCATCAAAATACCGAATATCGGGAGCTACAGTCATATGGACTGTTATAGACAATTCTCTTTCAGGGAGCAAAGTACTCACAGAGAAAACCTTGTGAAGAATTTCAGACAACTTCTTTGAAAAATGTGGTTAAAATCATCAAAATATCGAATATCGGGGGTACCGTTATATGAGGGCCATACGACCGATCTTCGAACTTGACCTGGATGCTGACAAAAGTCAGATCGGTGTAAAATTTTAGCTTCCTAACTTTATCCCTTTTGACTCCAGCGTGATTACAACAGACGGACGGGCATGGCTAAATCGTCTTAGAATTTTACGCTGATCAAGAATATATGCTCTTTGTTGGGTCTAAAATTATTATTTCGATGAGTTACAAACGGAATGACGAACTTAATATACCCTCCCTACTATGTATGGTGGAGGGTATAAAAATGAATTTTTCTTTTATTTTATCCACTCCCTGACACATATAAGTGCATACTATAACCACAATTCGCAAGTCAAGTTAATGCTACAAAATCCAAAGACATGAAAATGAAAGCATACTTTCAGGCATCACACTGATTGAGACCAAATGCCATAAATTGACTCTTACAAGTATGTTGTGCAATAAAAGTTTAATTTTAATAATATTTTTGTTTAATACACTAGACAACAAATATTTATGCGAATTCACAACATCGGAAAGAATATAGGATGACTACAATAGGAAGATTTTCAACTTAGTTGAATGATTTATGTATAAATAGATACATAGAAAGGGCTGAAAGTAGAAAGTTTAAAATTTTGATTAGGCTGGGTTTTTGGAAATTCGTACTTAAAGGATCCGAAAAGAACTAAAATGTGCTAAAAATTGAATACTTTGATTGGACAAACGGATGAGCTAGAATTCTCAAATTTCGAATGCGAGTCAATTTTAAGGTTACGAAAAATTCTAAAATGGTACTAAACTTAAATGGTACCATTTGGTATCATTTGAACGCATAAAACTAAAAACTTGAAATTTGGTATAAGTGTCAACTTCAATATATGAATTTCGTCTTGGAAATGTATAGTAAGTGTGTGAACTGTACTGAATGGTACAAAATTTGGAACAGTACAAAATTTGGTTTAGAGTAAACAGAAGAAGCTGAAATTTTGATATTCTTTATTGTGGTCCCTGTTGATGGTTGGTTTGTGTCAAAGACGCGGTATTAGAGATATCGAAATCTCAAAATTTGATATTGAGGTCTCTGTTGGTATTTGGAATTATAGTTGGTTATGGAAATGCGTACTGCATGTGCACGGAAAGTACTAAATAGTACTATATTTCGTACAATTTATTATTGGACGAAGAGATAGTGGTTGACATCTGAAATTTGGTATTAGGGGCGCTGTCCATGCGTAGCCTGGGCATATGGGCTTGGTTTCGAAAATGTGTACTACAATTGCGAAAAGTACTAAATACTATTGGACGAAGGGATAGAGATAAATTTCTGCAATTTATTATTTATATTACTGATGGTATCTGTGTTTGATATTTGTCGGGGGTTTGAAAATGCGTCCTATATTTGTACGAAATGGTACTAAATTTGGTATTTGGTGAAGGGTTAGGCCTGGAATTCTAAAATTTAATATAGAGGTCTCTTTTGGCACCTAAAATTGAGATAAATTTCTGAAATTTGATATTTAGATTACTGTTGGTATTTGTGTTTGCGATATGGCGGTGGTTTGGAAATACGTTCTATATTTGTACGGAATGTACTAAATGGTACTAAATTTGATATTGAGTGAAGGGATAGGGCTGGAAATCTCAAAATTTGATATTGAGGGTCTGTTGGTATCTGGAATTGAGATATATAGTTGGAATTAAGATATGAAACTGGTTTCGGAAATGTGTGCTGATAATTGTACAAAAAGTACTGAATGGTACAATTTTTGGTATTGGGTGAAGGGAAAGGAATGGTATCCTCAAACTTGATATTGAGGTCTCTGTTCGTATCTGGGATTGAGATATAGATGTGGTTTTGGAAATTTGTACTAGAAGTGCAGGAAAAGTTCTGAATAGTACTTTATTTGGTACAATTTGGCATTGGGAGAACTAATAGTACATGAAATATAAAATTTGGTATTTGGGTCATTTTTATGTGTAACCTGCACATATGGAGTTGGTATCGGAAATATGTACTATAATTGTAAAAAAGTACAATATTTGGCATGAGGTAAAGAGATAGGAATGGAATACTCAAACTTGATATTGAGGTCTCTGTCCCTATCTGGAATTGAGATATGGAGGTGATTTTGGAAATTCTATAATTATACGAAAAGTACTAAACTTAGTATTGTGTGAAGGAGAAATTTGATATGAATGTCACTGTTGGTGTCTGTGGTTAAGATATGGAGGTGGTATTTTTTAAATGTGTACTATAATTGTTTTTAAAGTACTAAGTGGTACTCAATAGGTTATTGGGCAAATTGATATGGAATCCCAAAATTTGATATTGGGTGATGGGATAAAACCGAAATCCTAAAAATTGATATTGTTGGTATCTGTGATTGGGAGAAGGAGTTGACTTTGAATATGCGTACTGTAATTGTACTAAATGGTACTAAATTTGATATGCATGTCACTGTTGGTGTCTGTGGTTGAGAAAATGTGTTTTCTCACTGTTTTGGACAAGCGTACTATAATTTTACAAAATGGTACTAAATTTCGTAATGAGTGAAATTACAGAGCTAAAATCCTGAAATTTGATATTAAGATCACTGTTGGTATCTGAGGTTGAGATTTGGAGATTGTTTTGTAAATGCATTATTTCAATGAAGCACATTTTGGGTCGTGCCGAAGAAATATACTGGAGAAATTAAAAATATCAATAAATTAAAAAAAACATGACTATTATTTAGTTCACACATCTCATGCATGTGCTAGACTGTTAAATAAAATCTGAATCATTCACCAATCCAAAAAAATAAAAAAAAAACAGTTATGGATTACAACTCAACTACGACGCCAGACAAGTGACTGAACGCAATTAGTAGCGCTGTTTGGATATTTAGTTTATTTTTATGGAAATCCTATGGAGATTTACTCTTTGCCACGAACCAGTTCGTTGAGAAAATTTTGAAACCAGTTCGAAATAAAGCGGCATTTTAAATTTCATACGAGTATCTGATGCGATACAAAGTTCACTATTGGGCGCCAAACTACGTGTGGAAAAAATTTAAATTGGAATGTTTAGCCATTGAAAATTTCCATTAATTATGTAAATTCATTCAAAGCAGCAATATTCTGTAAACACCAACTATTATAAACAATACATAAAAATGTGTAACATTCGGAAAGATGTTTTCGAAGCATAAATGTTTAAGAAAATATCTATCTTTGTGTGTTTCTAAAATACAGGAACGAACATTTCAGGAGGGCCAATAGAGAAAAAAAATATTTTTCCATGCAAAATATAAAATTCACCCCATACAGCTCGAATTCAAAGAAATATTGTTTTCTTAGAAAATTTTAAAATTGATTTAAATTAGATATATGCTCAAGCAAGCAACCATAAAATTAAAAATCTTACCCACGCTAATATGCACTCAAAATTTTTTTATAATTTAACAGAAGGTAATAAATTAGTGGCATGGCGCCGTTTCATTTCAATATTAGAATTTAGAAATTTGTCACCTGAATTCTTTGAATATTTTGCTTTGATACTCTCCGGCATGGAAAGAATGATAGGCCTAATCAAGTTGGTTTGGCTAGACCGAGCATAATGTCAGTTCAGTTTTCTTTTCTTGCCTTTGAATATTTAAATAAAAAACGATGTTGGAAGAAAAAGCTACTGAACTCTGTAAAAAATTCCAATTCCGCCAAAATGATGAGCTAACTGGTTATACGAAAAACCCGATATTATTTACTGATTACTAATTACATTTTAAAGTTAGCTCCACTAAAAAAAATGTATGTTTTAAAATGGCTTCATACACATTGACTCATGATTCGTCACTTTTGACGATGTTACACTTTGGACCTCTGTTGTTCAACATTTTATGCTGATATATGGAAAAGCGACACGCATATAAAAATTATGAATCTTTAAAAAAACAAAATTTGTCTCAAATCCGAACATTTCGTTTTAAAATCAGTGGAAGTTCCTGAAACAGCTTCTTTGGGAATTCACTCTAGAAAAAAAGACTTGACAGCTTCACCATTTTTGCCTGATAGTCCTTGAAATTATTATATCCAAAAAATAGTCCTTAAATTGTTGAAAGTGCCTAATAGTCACTGAAAGTTTTTGAAAAACTATACTTCGAACATCAACGCTTTAAGTACGGTAGGACAAAAAAAAATATATATTTTTTTTTGTTGTAACATTTTCAAGATCCTTTTCTATACAAATTGACAACTTCCTGGATTCCTGTCAAAATCCATTTTAGTTGCATTAGATGTTTTCAACACTTACGTTAATAGCTGGTTGATAGCTTAACGAGCTTAAGAAGACACGGACCCCAAAGAATGTTTTTAATCCACCAGTTTTGACTAAAAAATACTCCCAAAATAATCCTCCAAATCCTTCAAAAAAAAATTCTTCAAGAAAACCAAGATGTTAGCTCTGGGATTTCTTGGGAAAATATGCTAGGTAAAATCAACGATTTTTAGCCTAAATGCTTATTATGGGGAGGTTTCGAAATACGTTCATAGTACAAAATTTCCAAAACCACTTCCTTCTTCCCCATATCGAATTTCGGTATTTCAGCTCTATCCCTTCATCCGCTGTAGTAAAATTTAGTTTTTCCGTACAGTTAAAGTACTTATTTTCAAAACAATATCCATATTTCAACCTCAGATGTCAACACTGACCTTAGTATTAAATGTCAAGATTTCAGCTCTATTCCCTCCCCCAATAATAAATTTAGTACCAGTTACTACTTTTCGAACAATTATAGTACACATTTCCAATACCACCGACATATTTCAATTCCAAATACCAATCTTTCCCTTCACCCAATACCAAATATAGTATCATTTAGTACACATTTCCTTAACCACATGCATATATCCAGGCTACTCAGAAACAACGACCCTAATACCAAAATTCAGATTTCAAACACTATATGTTTACTCAGTAACAAATTGTACCAAATATAGTTTTATTTCGTACTTTTCGTTCACTTGCAGTACACATTTTCAAAACCACCTCTTAATTCCAAAGACCTCAATATCAAATTTCGAGGAATCTATTTTTCCGTTAAGTATTTTTCGTACAGTTATTTTGGAACAACGACCACAATACCAAATTTCAGATTTTAAGCACTATCTGTTCACCCAGTACCAAATTGTACCAAATACTGTACTATTTAGTACTTTTCGTTCACTTGAGGTACACATTTCCAAAACCACCTCCATATCCCAATTCCAGATACAAACATAGAACTTAATAAGAAATTTGAGGATTCCAGCCCTTTCCCTTCGCCCAATACCAAATATAATACCATTAAGTACGTTTTCGTACAATTATTGTAAACATTTTCGAAACCACCTCCATATATTCAGGCTACACATGAACAGCGATCCTAATACCAAATTTCAGATTTCAAGTACTATTTATTCAACCAATATCAATTATCGATTTACCAAATATAGTACTATTTAGTACTTTTCGCGTACTTGTAGCACACATTTCCAAAACCACGTCTTTATCACAAACCTACCAGCCAACAGGGCCTCAATGCAAAATTTCAAAATTGCAGCTTCATCCGTTCACTTCTTACCAAACTGTTTTAAATTTAGTACCATTTAGTACATTTCGCAAACTTAGTGAACACTTCCAAAACTACTTTCTTATATCGAAATTACTTTCTTTCAACCTTGGCTCTCATACCAAATGTCAAGTTTTTAGCTCTGTCCGTTCACATAATACTAAATGGTATCTATCTACAAGTTTAGTACCATTTTAGAATTTTTCGTAACTTTAAAGTTCTAATTTTCCAAATGTCCAGCTGATTCTGTTTTTGTTTTTTTTTTTTTTTTTTTTTGTTTGACCAAAAAACTATTGAATTTCTAGTACATTTTAGTACTTTTCGTATCCTTTAAGAACGAATTTCCAAAAACCCAACCTTATCACAAGCCTACGCACCAGGACTGACCTTCGTGCAAAATGTTCAGCCGTTTCGTGTTGGCGATGATTCGCCGTCAGTCAGTTATTCACTACTCTTTTATATAACTACGTTTTTTCAGCCTAAAAGTTCGTCATAGAATTTATGAAAGTCCTTAAAGAATTTTGCTTAAATTATTCTCTACGGGGGTATTTTTTTAAAAATTTATCCATTTTTTTTTTAAATCCAATGCCCTGAAAATCCTTGAAATATTTTTGAAAAAATTCTTCAAGACCTATTATTTTCTTTAATAGCTGCTAAATATCCTGTCATTTACTGCACATGACAAATGTTGTCTTCCAATCCAATTAGAAGCGATATTATGTAAATTATCCTTGAAAACAAAAATTCAAATATTTTTCCAAATCAAAAACAAATTAAAACTTTTTGCGAAATTATAAACAAATATTTCCGCAATTACGCTACAGTCCTTGCAGAAAAGAAATCTAAACCATATCGCATTGTGTAACGTAACGTCTCGCAAATAAGTCATATGGCAATATGACAAACGCTCTAACCGACAACAACAAAAACATTTATTCAAAACTCGATACGAATGTGGCATTTGAGTATCACTGGAAAGTGTGGCGTTGGACGGGCATCAAACCTCCGCAGGATATGAATCCCCAATTGTACAGGCTGTATGCCATAGTTTTGAACTTCTTGGCCACCGTACTATTCCCACTCTCTCTCATCGCCAATGTTTTCTTTACCCAAAACCTTCAGCAGTTGTGTGAAAATCTCACCATTACCATCAGTGACTGTCAGTCAAATTTGAAGTTTATCAACGTCTTTTTGGTGCGCCACCAATTGGATAGGATCAAAAGTATCCTTCGAAGATTGGATCGTCGCGTTCAAGACGATAAAGAATTTGCAGTTTTAAAATCGGCAATTGCTACGGCCAGATCCTCGTTTTTAATATTTTTCCGTCTCTATTCGTTCGGCACCACTCTGAGTGTCGTCAAGGTGGCCCTGGCCGAAAGTCGTTCTCTGCTATTTCCCGCCTGGTTTGGGGTAAATTGGGATGGTAATTTGTCCACCTATGTCGTGGTGATTGTTTATCAGTTCTTTGGTTTGGCTGTACAGGCCTTGCAAAATGTTGCCAACGACTCGTATCCTCCGGCCTATTTGGTTATACTCTCGGCCCACATGAGAGCCTTGGAAATACGTGTTAAGGCTGTGGGCCAATTTCGGCAAGAGGGCATGCAACAGCCACTCACTTTGTCGGCAGAGGAGCAGGCGAAATGTTTAAAGGAATTTAATGAGTGCATCAAGGATTATTTGAATATTTTAAAGTAGGAATCTAAAAATTCAAAAAAAAAAAAATAAATAAATAAAATAATTATTTCTTTTATCGCCAGACTGCATTCTATCATCCAACGCATAATTTCGAAAGCCTGTTTGGCTCAATTTGCCTGCTCCGCATTGGTCCAATGCACTGTGGGTCTGCACTTCATGTATGTGGTGGATGCGGCCAATTACGAGGCCCAATTAATGTCAATCATCTTTTTTGTGGCCGTGACTTTGGAAGCCTTCGTCATTTGTTATTTCGGCCACATGATGAGCTTGCAAAGTTCGAATTTGACGTATGCCTTCTACTCGTGCGGTTGGTTGGCTCAATCACCGGAATTCAAGAGAAATCTCATCATCACTCTGATGCGCACCCAGAGGACATCAACGATAAGAGCTGGCTCATACATCCCAGTGGATTTGCCAACATTTGTTGTGGTAGGTAAATTTTGGGGTGTGGGGGAAAATTGGGTTTGAGAGGTTGCAGATACAAATTGAAAGGAGAGAAGAGACAAGACTTTAAAACCACATTTCTTCTGCATTCAAATAATATTCTTTAAAAATTCAAAAACTATAGATTTTTGATTGGATTTTTCAAATATTTAGAATATATACAGGGTGAGATAAAAAATCTGCAACAAAGTCAAATGCCACAAATTTTACATTTTTTTTTTAATTTTATTGAATGAAAGCAAAAAATTTGGGAAATAGCATCACATTTTAGAATAAGTTTAGATTGGTTCTAATTGGTCACCTTTGTCACGAATTATGGCCTTGAACGGTCAATGAAAGCGTCACACGCTGCCAGAATGTTGTTCTGCGGTATTTTGACCAATTCCTGGCGAAGCGCTTGCTTGAGGTGATCGACACTTTGGTATTTTTTAGTGCCAACCTTGCTTTCAAAAATACTCCTGGCACAATAGTCCAAAAGATTAGTGTCCGGAGATTTTGGTGGCCATTGTGCGCTGGAAATGAAGCGAGGACCCTCATTTTGTAACCATCTTTGGGTGGCGCGTGCTGAGTGCGATGGTGCTGAGTCCTGTTGGAATGTCCAAGGTCTGCGGCCAAAATGTTTGCGTGCCCAAGGCTTAATTACACCCTCCAGAATATTTTCGGCATTTATTCTGATTAATACGCTCGGAGAGCGACCAACGGCTGTTATGGCGGCACACACCATCACCATGACCGGCGCTTAAGTTCTGGTGGTCAGCTGACCTCTTTGGCAAGTACGAATGTTTTCTCATCGGAGAAAACCAAATTCGGCAGTTCACAACATTTCGTAACTATAACCATGATAAAAATAGGGATTTTCATAGGATTATTTTTCAAGTATGTCCAGTAATAATCTTGGAATTTTTAAAGACAATTTTTTTCAAGGACTCTCAGAACAAAGGATATTTTTTTCAAGTACTTCTGGGAAAATATTCGTAATTTCCCAAATACTACCAGGACAGCAATTAGGGATTTTCATAGGATCATTTTTCAAGTAAGTACGGTAAAAATCCTTAAAAATGTTTTTATGGACTTTTAGGACATCAATCGTGTTTGTTTGTTAATATTTCTTTAAGGACTTCTCGATAAACTATTCTGGATGTTTTAAAGAACTTTTTTGCAAGGAGTTCTTGAACCGTATCAAGCATTTTTAAATGAAAATTTTTTAAGGACTTCCAGGACAAAAATCAAGAATATTTTTAAAGATTTTTTTTTTTTGAAGGACTTCGGGGACACTGTTCTTGGATTTTAAGAAGTAGTTTTTGAAGGAAAAAAGGAATTCCATGACAACAATAATACTTTTTTTAAGAATAGTTTTCAAGGACTTCTAATGCAATAATTTTCTAAAAATATTTAAAAAAATAAATTATTTTAGAATGGTTATTTCTGAAAAAATATTTAAGGAAATTCCGGACAGTAATTGTGGCCTTTTTAAATAATATTTTTTAACTGAACATTTAGAGAATTTGTCAACTATTGTCAGTGCAAAATTTTTATAAGAATCTCTCTAGTAAAAATAGCGATTGTTTGTAAGAAATTTGTTAAGGTATTTTTAGGCAAAATTCGCGGATTTTTTTATTTTATTTTTTTTTATAAAGCAAGTCATTTCCAATTGCATGCGAATTAATTGTTAATCAAGATTATGAAAACAGATATCTTTAGATATACCAAGTTTGAAAAGAATCGCAGACCTATTTAGCAAGAAAAGTGCGAACCTTTGTGGGGAGATGCCAGAAGGAGTGAGCCGATATATCTCATCTTTCCAGCAGATTTTGAAGAAAATCGGATGCTTACTTCGCATATATTCCGATATATTCCATCTTCATACAAAATCTTGCGTAAAGAGAAATATCGGGTACGTACCCAGTTTGAAAGAAATCAGATGGTGGGATTTGCGAAATTTGAAGACAATCCGACTCTTATATCACATTTTATAACAGTTATAATTGCTCCAAATGTTTACCCTCTGTGGGGAAGGTACTTCATTGAGTGTATTGATACTGTCCATTTTGCACCTGACCTAGAGCTATTACGTATATTATAATTTGCAAAGTTCGCACAAAAGATCCTTTCTTGTTAGAAGGGCTACATTATTTTATGTGCAAATTTTGATCTTTTATGGGGGAGGTATCAGAAGTAGTGGACCAATATTGCTCATCTCCGAACTCGAGCTAAGTTTGATAAAAATGTAGCGATGTACAAAGTTTGGACCAAATCTTATATTCCATGCCAACCAGACCGAATGACGAACACCCCCAGATCGTCTCCAAATGACATAGGTTTTAAAACCTTAATGACTTGCGGAAAAAAAACCTATTGTGTTTTTTAAAGATCGTCAGGGCTATATTTCGTGATTTCGCAAAGAAGACAAAATGGTGGGTTTTTTTAATTATTTTTCGAAGAAACTTTACGGTAAACAATGATTGGAGCAAAAATTAAGGACTTTAAAAAAATCGGAATATTCTTTATCGGTATTTTAGGGCAAAATTAATGAAATTTCAATGCTATTTTGAAATTTTACCAACATTTCGTGGGTATCATTAATTGCGGAATGGAGTTCAATGTATTCGAGTTCCTCAATTATAAAGGTGAAAATACCAATAAAACGAATTTAAGTATTTTCACATCATATGGTAGAAATTAGACATTAAAGAGCCATTGACGTTATAGAGAATGACTTATATAATTAATGTTTTTTTATTTTTTTAGATATAATTTAAAAACTTTTTAATTGCCTACATGTTTTAACACTTGCATACATAATAATTATTTAATTATTTTTACTTCTCATTTTAATTGCAGCTCATGAAGTATGCCTATTCGGTTTTTACCCTACTGATACGATTCAAATAAGCCGAAGCTGTGGGCAGGATGGACATTTGGAAATAAAACCCTAAAACACTATTTTTTCTCTAGTTTGCACCTCTAGTTGACTTGTTTACTACACCGTAGAATGCACTGAATTTATTAAAAAAATTACATACAGTTATTTATTTTTGTTTTTTTTTTTTTTTTTTTTTTTTTCCAAAAAAAAAAACAAATTTTTTTATACCCTCCACCATTCTATACAAAGTTAATATACACTTTGTCATTCCGTTCGTAACTCCCCGAAATATTCATAATAGACCCTATAAAGTACAGGGTGAGATGAAAAAACTGCAACCAACTTCAGACTGCTGTCATTTCTAAGCCACTCGTCCGACAGCTGTTTAAATTATTCCAGTGACAGCTTATTATATTGTTTACAAACATACAAAAGCATTTTGGTGAGATTTTTCCAGAAAAAAAAGTTATTCGTGATGGAATTCAAGCGTGATAGTGTGATTTCTTTATATTTGGCTGGAAAACCACAAGTGGCTATCGTTAGAGCACTCCAGCATTTAAATGTGGATAAATCATTTGTGTCTCGTACCATTCCTCGTTTCCGTGATACTGGTAGAGTAGCCCGACGTCTAAGAAGTGGACGGAAGAAAACAGCAACATCAGCAGAAATGGTTCGAAAAGTAAAGAAGCGACTTGATCGAAACCGCGTTGCAGTGGCAGAAAAATGGCTCGTGAGCTGAACATATTGCAATATTCCATTCGGCAAATATTGGAAAAAATAACTCGGGGTAAAGCCATTGAAATTCCAAAATGAGCAAGAACATATACCGCAACAGAAAGAAAATAGTGTTGCTTCGCTTGGCCGAAATTGAAGGACTGCCGAATTTGGTTTTCTCCGATGAGAAAACATTCGTTGTCCAGTGTTTACCTGCCAAAGAGGTCAGCTGAAAATGTGCACCTTCGGTTGACCACCAGAACTCAAACACCGGCCATGTTAATGTTGTGGGCCGCTACAAAGTCGTTTTGTCGCTCTCCGATCGTATTAATCGACCGTGGAATCAGAATAAATGCCGAATATTATCGCGAAAATATTCTGGAGGGTGTAATTAAGCCTTGGGCACGCAAACATTTTGGCCGCAGACCTTGGACTCAGCACCATCGCACTCAGCACGCGTCACCCAAGAATTGTTACAAAATGAGGTTCCTCGCTTCATTTCCAGCGCACAATGGCCACCAAAATCTCCGGATACCAATTCGTTGGACTATTGTATCTGGAGTATTTTGAACAGCGAGATTGGCACTAAAAAATACCAAAGTGGCGATCACCTCAAGCAAGCGCTTTGCCGGGCATGGGCCAAAATACCGCAGAGCAACATTCGGGCAACGTGTGACGGTTTCATTAGCCGTTTGAAGGCCATAATTCGTGCCAAAGATGACCAAATCTAAACTTATTATATTTCCGATATTTTTTGGTTTCATTCAATAAAATTTAAAAAAAATGTAAAAATTATGGCTTTTGACTTTGTTGCAGGTTTTTTTATCTCACCCTGCAATAAACGAAGGACAATATTTTTGTGAGAATTCATAAGCCTTTAGTCGCACTTTCATAGAAAAATTTATCGAATCTCAATCTGAGATAGCATTTATCGATATGTAGAGCATAAAAGTTTTGGCTCGCCGGACCTCTGTGTTGTTATTAGCCTATTTCCCATCTTGCCGATAATCTGCATAGTAAAATATTCAAATTTAAAGACATTTTTCCATTCTACAACGCTTGAGAACTAAGTCAGTGGATTTCATTTTGGTTCTTTTATGATGCACTTAAAATAACTGCAAATCGTTTGGTCGGTTGGTTGGTGTAGGTCATAAACAATAAAAACGTCGAAATTAAATTTAAAACATCGTAAAAAAAAACTAAAATTAATGGATTTTATATGAATTCATTAATTTCGTTATTCTATTCTGCTTTAAGGCATTCCGAATTCGGCAAGGCTTTAATTTTTGGCATCTTTTTGCGTTTTTTTTTTTTTGCAAAATTTAATATGTTCTGTTTTGTTGTTGTTGCTGTATCGAATTTGTTAAGAAACCACATTTGAGGTGATTATTAATGACTCAACAGCTGTTGTGGTCTGGCTCTCTGACAGATCGCCACCAATAACAATAATAATAGTAATATTTACTCCTATTGTATAGGTGAGTGTGTGTGTTTTTTTTATGGCTTTTGAAAACCATCCATTAAATTAAACAAAAAATATCTCTAGAAATAGATTCGAAATAATCAGGAAAGATTTGACAAAAATCAATTGGTGTTCATTTTTTTGCCATTACCACCAACAGAAGCCGCAGTGGCAGCAGCAACATTTCCGAGTGATTTTAAAGTGACGTTGAACCGGAAGAATATCACCTAAAATGTGCTTGGCCAGTCAGCACACGTAGCCAACCAGCCACCAACTCTCTGATCTATGTCTCGTGTTGAGTTCAGTATTATTAGCAGTTGTATCGCTCGCTGAGCTCCAGTTTGACAAATTGAATATCATTCCCGTTAATTGTAGATAATTTTCAAAACTCAAACAAGAACTTTGCCCAATACCAAAACCAAAAAAATAAAGAAAAAATAATTGTATTTCACAAATGACAGACAGACAAGAAATGATTTCCTTATTCGAAAAGAATGTTTATTGATATTCAATAATTCGAAATTTGAATACTAATAGGGGATGTTTTTTTTTTTTTCGTTTGCATCGAAATTATTTTTTTGTCTGGATAAGAAATTTTGTGTAAACCGGTTGAATTGGATTCTAATGCGACAGAAACCTGAAACCCCGCTATTCCATCGTATAACCAACCATACGCCAAACACGTGCCTTTTAATCGCTCCGCTTGAACTTTGAGCTACTGCTTGTCATAAGAACTAGGAGTTTTTTGTTGTTCCTCCAAATTTCACTTTTCGTCAGCGAAAAGGTGTCATGTAATTATGATCATTGAAATGTTAATTGATTGGCCTTTTGGTCAAGGCATTAAATTCGGTGGTTTTCTCCGCCGCTATGGAATGGAGGGTATTTTAGAATTGTTATTCTGTTTGTAACTCACTAGTGATGAAACCACAGTGTAGATCTAGTAAACATTGTAAAAAATATATACGATCGGAATTCGCAAAAAATATACTGCGCAAAATTGTATAGAGAACGCCATCTATCGATGCTGGGAGAACCAACTGTTGCCAAAGCACTAGAAATTGATGATCATGCTTTTAGAGACTGATGAGACTGCAGACTTTTACATGGTTTCGGAAAAGTGATGCTCAAAATCCGATAATTACCTATAAAAACATTTTTCGTATTACACATTGACGAACGCCATCTATAACTCGAATATAAATATCTTTAACGAACAGCCAAGAGAGGAAGGCATTTCGAGTTTATTATTCTGCTTGTAAAGCAATTTTAAAATTATGGTATAGATCAAGTAAATATTTCAAATTTATTCAAGCTTAGAACTTAGAACAAAAAAACACTAGATATTTTACTCCTTGTTATACATAGCGCATTTACCGCTTTTGGGCGAAACAAAACTTAACAAAAATTCGCTTTTGGGCGAACCAAATGTTAAAAAACCATATAAATTAAGGAGCATACTTTTGGGAAACTTTTTGGCAGTAAAACATTGAATATAACATGGGCCTCAGAAAAATATTAACAAGTTAAACTCATATTTCTATATTGCTTTATGAAAAATTGTTCATGAACGCCATCTATAATTCAATTTTTATATCTCAGTATAGATTATTTTAACGACCAGCCATTTTAAGGTTATAATTCTCCTTGCTGCTCAAAATGTTAATTATGTGCAGATCAAGTAAATATTACCCAGAATTACCCACTACAATATACTAGAAAATATTGTGTATGCTATAGAGAGCGCCATCTGTTGGTGGCGGGCGAACAAATAGCTGGTAAAATTAGATAAATTATGGAGCATACTTTTGGGCAACAACAAGACTGTAAGCTTTGCATGGGTTTCAGAAAATACTAACATGTTATGCTTACATTTCTATATTTACTTGGAAAAACATGCATTCGCATTAAGCATTGACGAACGCCATCTATTATTCAATTTTTATAATTAATTATGAATTATTTTAACAACCAGGCGGGAGAGTTAGATAGTTTAAGTTTATTTATCTGTTTGTAAATAAATGTTTAAACTATTAAGCAAATATTTTAAAATTATCCAAGCTCGAATTTTGCACAAATTTGTTAGACACCATAATGTAGCGAGACTGCCATCTGTTGAGGTTGAGCTAACCAATAGTTGCCAAGCAATATAAATTAAAGAGCATACCTTTGGGCAACGATAAGACTTTAAAGCATTGAATATTGTAAGGGTTTAGAAAAAGTATTAAAAATGTATAGATATTAACTTGCAAAAAGATGACTCGCATTATGTCTTGACGAACGCCATCTATAACTCAATTGTCATTTCGAATTTGTAATGTCTTCTGCCATATTATAGCCAATTCAGTTAGAAATGTGGCCAAGAACTTTGCATGTAGCTAACATCGAGTGTTATCGTATACTCGGGAATAATCCAAAACATAAAAGAGAGGTTCTTCATTCTTCGGCAGGTTGCACACGGGATATAAAAATGTCTCTGACATTCGATTTTCATTTCTCTGACATTTATTTAAAATCCACCTAAATCCTACAAAAAAATGTTAAATATTCGTCAATATATTCAACTAACCCAGTGTCAAAATGTGACTAGAATTCAGACATCTGAAAATTTGCTGTTACACAAAAACACGATCAATTTTTTTTCCACTCGATTCCATTCTCAGAGCAAAATCTTACTCGAGTAAATCGATTCCTACTCTTATTTTTCTAACGGGGTTGGCTCTAGAGCTCCCCCACACAAAACGAAAGTGTGAAAAGTATTAAACTAATTAATCGACAAATAACTAATTATTTCGGGAGAAAGAGAGAACGATCATCTATTAAAGAGAATGAGTGTCTATTAGTGCTCGTTCGAACTCAAATAGAGAGTGAAACTCACTCAAATTCAAGCAGAAGTTCTCCTGTGTATAGAGAATCAATAATCGAGCATACTCTGTTTTTTCTATATGATTCAAATAAGTTCGTTCAGGCTGTGCTCGTTTTCCAGGAT